GAGCTCGAACTGAGCTCGAGCTTTATTTTCATAAACGAGCCGAACTCGAGCTTGCATATTAAAGCTCGTGACGAACACGAGCTGAACTCGAGTTTGAAAATATATTAATGAGCCGAGCCCAAACTATGGCAAACCTCGGCTCGGCTCATTAACAGCCCTAGCTACCGGTAAGAACAGAGAAACTGACCACCCAAAGTGAAACTACAAATACATACAGTATCAGACCATTTTTACCGCCAAAATTAGTTTTGATCACACAAGCTTGATAGTAGTAGTAGTAGAGTAGAGGTCTTTATTCTCCTTATTGACAAGTTGCTTGTGCATAAAATAAGTAACCCAAATCGAACCCTCAAAGTCAAACAACGAAATTTTGTGATCATGATTGTTTAAAGTCATCACCAAGCTACCCCTGATATTCCCAAAGAGACTTTTTAGTCCCCCGGTAGAAGGAGAAAACAAACAGCAAGGAGAGTAGAAGAAGCGAAGCGACTTACTCCTTCTGACGACAGACGGCCGGCCGACGTAGGCTGATCGAAGACCTGCAATTGCTTAACGGCCAAGAGTGGGAGCTGAGCTGTTGCGGGGAAATGAAAAGCAAATGGGCTGGGATGTTGCTTGTTTGGGTATTATTTTGTACTTCTTATACTAAGTGGGCTAGTTGACCAACTTTCGTGGGCCTTCTTAAATGCATTATAAACACTATTGCCCATAATAATTTTTGGGCCCACGAATAAAATTTACCATTCTGCCAACAACGATGGGCTCGGATGTGTTAGTGACAAACTGTCAGTATGATTCTGCTATTTTTTGTTGCACCTAATGACCCTACTACAGACGCTGCTGAGTGCTGAGCTATGAACTCAGTCGAATCCGTCGGGAGTAGGAACATTGAGTTCTTGTGATTATATTTAAATTCGACTATTGTACTTTGTTGGAGCTTAATACACAACATGTAAAAAGAGGAGGCAATGCGGTTCACGCGGTTACTGGTGCTGGAACAACTAAATGATGCGTAAATTTGTCTCATGTGATAGTTTACAATAATATTCTACCAAACACACAGATTCGATTATACAAAAGTTGTGCACAAAATTTATTACGAGTTGAACTTTACTTACGAACTTACTTTGTCCTATCCCGAGGGCTTCATGAATCATTAACAAATTGGGGATAGTTCAACCATTAAAGCTTTAATTTGAATAAGTGATTACCTTCAAGAAATGCTGTCAGATCCGACTCTTCGAATCCCCTCTCATAATGGAGCCCTAAAGTGTCTTCCTTCGTTATGGAAGATAGCAAAGTGGCACATTCTTGAACTTCAATACTTCTTTGATAACCAACCAATGATCTCCTGGAAGGGCAAGCATCCCAATATGAACCATTGTACCTTCTGATGGTTAAATAAGACTATTTGAAAACCAAAGGCCTTAGACTTGGATTTTCCTTCAAATATATCGAAATGGTTGCATGTGCATATTGATATGATTTGATTGAAATCAATGAAGTCAAATGTGTGTTTCTACGCAGAAGCGAACACATGAGTAAAAGTGTAAAATATAAAGCGTAAGTTTTTGTGTATTATCTTATTGAAACTTCACATAATTTATGACAAATTTAAAAAGGTCATTGCTCATGCAAATAATATAATTCAACTAATTTTTCTTTAGTGCATCAATTCAACATTTTCATCCAAGTATTTATCATTTCTATCATACTACCGTTGACAATACTGTCAAACTCATAGTCAATATTCTCTCTTACACTATCCTCTTGACATACTTTAATCTCCTAATTCTCTATATATCATAGAAAATTGACGACACAAGATACATCAATGGTTAAATTTTGTGTGAATTTTGTTGCAAATTTGGAGTGAAAGAATAGAGGGAACATACACGAAGAAAGAAAAATACAATGCCAGAAGATCATCAGAAGAGTGTAGGCAACATTATCACTAATAACAAATTAGTTGTACATATTTTAACAACATTTTCATTCCTCTTATGTTCGTCATTGTTCTATTATGGTCTTACTTTTATTTTTATTTTATGTTTGATTTTGTGAGTTTTAGTGTTTCAAGGTATCTATCTATCTATCTATTATGACAATTCAAAAAAAAATCTTGCCACATAAGCACTTGGAGGATCCACAATTTGCCAAGTTGGACAACCTTTTTACAAACAAAAAATTAGTTATTAATGTATTTAAGGAGCTACCTATCTCTTCTTTAATATTTCCATTTCTTTTATCCAATTATTCTTTTTTATTTATCCAATTATTCTTTTTTGTCTTTAGTAATAATTTACATGTTAATAAACTTAACCAAACACACATAAATAATAATTTTTGGTTAAATAAACAAAATATAAATAAGAAAACAGAGCTCCGGTTTCGGGTAAAACCAAACAGTACATACCAAATAGCCACCCCTAACGTTTATTACTACATTGATTGGAATTATGATAATTGTTGCATTGTAAAGGCTATATTAGGCCTTGTTGTTCTTAGATACCGCAGTTGTCTAGAAAATCATGAGTTTTTATGTATTTCTAATCCCAGAAAGTACTTTAGTTCCCCTATGTCATTGACCTTAAACTTCCATGAAGGCAACCATTTACAGAAGCAATCAAGTCTAAGCTATCACTAGTCAAGATCACATCATCAACATAAATCACAAGAAACAACACATTTTCTCCTGATTTATATATTGATCATTGAATAATCAAGCATAAGATTGAGTAAAAATCAAACTTTAGCAACACTTTTGCTAGCCTAACAAACCACTGCATACTTGCTTGCTTCAAGCCATGGACTGACTTCTCAAGTCAGTATACACTTCCTTTCAGTTGTGGTTTTTAATCAAGTCCTAGAGGCAATACCATGTAGACTTCTCATCTTAGAAACCATTAAGAAAAGCATTAACATCCATTTGGTGTATTTACCATTGTTTGGCTGTTGCAAGTTGAAATAATAACTTCACCGAGTTCTGCTGGACCACATGTGAGAAAGTATCCCTGAAATCAACACCATGCTCGACTGTAACCTTTTGTCACTAGTCTAGCCTTGTGTCTCTCTAAACTTTCTTTTGCATTATATTTTATCTCCAATGCCCATTTGTTACCAATTAGTACCTTATCAATAGGTGGGTCCCTTATAGTCCAAGCTTTATTTTTCTCCAATACAAAAATCTCTTCATTCATTTCCTTATCCGAGCAGTCTTACTTGCAAGCCTATACATATATCTGAGGCTTCGACTCTGTGGTGATTGTAAGAACAAAAGAATTGTGTAAAGGGTTTAACTTGTCATAATAGAGATAGTTTGAAATAGGATATATAACTTTTGGCAAGTCACCGTATCTTGCACTTTTCGGTCGACCTCAGATAGGATTTGGTCGATCTAATATGTTGTTTCATTTTTGTGAGGCTCAACAACGCAATTGATCTTTTACAGCAAATGGTCAACCTCTTTGGGAAGCGAACAATATAAAAGTTTGACCCAAATATCTCAAAGGCCGATCAGTTTGCTTTCAACATACTTTGACATGGAGCTCCTCACCAACCTGCTTTCACATGAGAAGGTGAACTTGCCATACCTGATATTTAAACACAGGCTTGCGTGCAGAGAGTTCAAACAAGAATCTTCCCTATGGGATGATCCTAACTCTGTTATTTGAGTATTTTAGTGTGAATTTAAGTGAATAGGTTGGCTTAAGAGTCACAAGGAAGGAATTCTACACCGTTACATCCCTGAAGAAGATGGGATTTGAGATGCATGATGGCGCGTATGTCCGAGCATACAATCCTCATGTATTCCATGTTGTTGATGATGGTGATGTTGTTGATGATGATGAGGTGGAGGAGGACCCCGGAGACGAGCCAGTGATGCAACCACAAAGTTCAGCTCCACCGATTACCCTACAACGTATATGGGATCGCATGGATGGCATGTACGACCAGATGGGGCAGATGTCCACCCAGATCACTGGCATGTATGAGTACATGGGGCAGATGACCATCCAGATGAGCCCAATGAAGGTGACCGTAATAGAGATGCGAGATGAGTTTTGGTCTTTCAGTGGAAGATACATGCATCCCACCACATCTGACTAACATAATGCTAGCACCACCAATGAGGAAAATGCAGATGAGTGAGAGAGGGGAGATGTGTAGGAACTCGATGGTTTTAGATTGTGTTTTTTTTTCCTGTATGCGGTCGACCTTTGATTGTATGTGGTCGACCTCGAAACCAAAACAGTTGTCTTCGTTTCACGCCAAAGGGGGATGGATAAATGGATATAACTTTACTCTTCTATCAGGTCGACTTCTTTTTGTAAATGCTCGACCATTTCAGTAATGACTGCCAACAAGTGGTCGACCTCATTAAGTTTATAATCCATCATTTTGCTTCTGAATACAATGAAAAGGCCGACCGAAGTTTTATTGTGGTGATTATTAATGCATCAACTTAACTTAAAATGGTCAATCACTATATTTTAATGGTCGACCATGATTTTTCATTAGAGTTAGGGGTGGGCATCGGTTCGGTCGAAACCGAACCGAAATTGAGTATACTGGGTTCCCCGATCTCTCTAAACATGAAACCGAAGTCAAATCGAAATATAACTCGGTTCGGGATCCCGACAAAACCCGAAATACCAAACCCTTTCCCTGCCTTCCACTTTTTCTGTACGCTACTTCCTCTCTCTACCCAAAAACACATTTCCTCTCCTCTCTTCCACCTCTCTCCATCCCTACTACTTCTTCCACCTTTTACCACCACCAGCGCCTCCACAAAACCCTCTCTCCGAATCTGGCCTCTCTATTCTCTCCTTCCCTCTCTAGCCTCTCCCTCGATCTCCACCTTGACAACTCGCTCTGCCTATCTCCCTCCTCCGCCGTCACTATAGTATCTCCCTCCTCCGCCGCTACACTCTTCCTCCTCTCTGTCTCTAGGAAGAATCTGCAGATGACGAGATCTGTCTCATGCTAGCCTCTGCTCTATGCTCCGCATCCAGATACAACGAGATCTTCAGAACCCTCAAGCCTCAATGAGTTCGCCGCATGCAAAGCCTAGACACCCTGATTTCTCCTTCTCTGATGTCGATCTTCCATACCTCTGTCGAGGTTTATTCCTACAGGTGGAGTCGCCTGCATGTGGTTATCGGCGCCCGGCGGAGATTAGAGTAGGGCTCGCGACAGCAGCGGCGCGATTGATGAGGAGAGTAGGGTTGGGAATACTTGCGGCGGCGACACATGAGCTGGGAGTGGGGATGGGGTCATGGGGATTAGATTAGGGTTGGGGTTGGGAATGGGAATGGGGTTTGTGGGATATTCTGTTAGTTTTGTGATTGTGGGATGTAAATGTTGCGGTTTTGGGTTGGTATGTTAGTGTGTGAGAATGGGCTTGGGCTTGGTGTTGTGGGCTGTTAGTGTGAGAGTGGAAGTTCGGTTGGTCGGATCGGAATTCGGAAACTCGGTTCGGTCGACAGGACCCTGGATTCCGAATTATGCATGTTTTCCTTCCGATTTTCGAACCGAAATAGAATAGTTCGGTTTCGGTTCGGGTTTGATCGGTTTCAGGTCGGGTTGGGTTTACCGAACCGTATGCCCACCCCTAATTAGAGTGACCACCTTAGGAGATTCGGTCGACCGCTATTAAGAATAGGTCGACCGAATTGTGCAAGTTACGGTGACTTGCAAGGCACCATAGGCGCACCCTTCTAACTTTTTTAGTGATTAGATTAGGGTTGGGGTTGGGAATGGGGTTTGTGGGCTATTCTGTTAGTTTTGTGATTGTGGGCTGTAAATGTTGTGGTTTTGGGTTGGTATGTTAGTGTGTGAGAATGGGCTTGGGCTTGGTGTTGTGGGCTGTTAGTGTGAGAGTGGAAGTTCGGTTGGTCGGTTCGGAATTCGAAAACTCGGTTCGGTCGACAGGACCCTGGATTCCGAATTATGCATGTTTTCCTTCCGATTTTCGAACCGAAATAGAATAGTTCAGTTTCGGTTCGGGTTTAATCGGTTTCGGGTCGGGTCGGGTTTACCGAACCGTATGCCCACCCCTAATTAGAGTGACCACCTTAGGAGATTCGGTCGACCGCTGTTAAAAACAGGTCGACCGAATTGTGCAAGTTACGGTGACTTGCAAGGTACCATAGGCGCACCCTTCTAACTTTTTTATTGTCTTAAAGTGTTTGTTGAGGTAAGTAAACTATTAAAGTAGCAGACGACTACAACATAATTTAACAGAAGATAAAACTAAGTATATAAGGTATTGTTTATATTCGAATCTCTCTAACTAGTTTCAAGTATCAATCAAACAAAATACATATATGAAATTATTGTTCGCAGATAGTAGGATTTCCCAAAATATGATTAATTATGATATCCTTGTGTATGATCACTCTATCAAGGAACAACCCATTTCGGCTTAGGAAAAGTTTCCATGAAACAAACTTCTTTTGAAGAAAAAAATATATTCATCTAATTGTGTGCATCATTTACAAATTGCATAGAAAACTTTTGAGGCAGCTTGCTTAGCTACAAAGTTGGCTCCTGGCTCTGGCTTCCCAGCTCCTTTCTTTGAACGACTTTCCACTTACCAGCCTGTGAAGTTGTTGCCTTGGTATGCTTGCAATCTCCATTCAGGCATCGTCTGCTTGATATGGTTTCTCTTGAGATTGAGATCGTAATACTATAATTATCGATCAAGTTTCAGCAACCATAAATAAATATTAAATACCTCACTGTCTACTGAGTTCATCAACCTTTCCAAGCAATAATTTACTCCATCTGTTCTTTTTATAAAGGAAAGAGTCCCTCCTCCAGTCTCCATCTGCAGAAACCAAAACAAGCCAAATAGCCTTTAATTTACAAATGATTTGAAGATTTCTGCTGACTCTAATCCTAATCGCCACAAACCATATCATCTTCCTCTTCCGTCCACAAGGAGGAACAGAAGCCAAGAAAAGAAAAACATTCCCCATTGTCAAGTCTTTCAAGCATGTGGAAAATATGTGAGATAGGGGGAAAGAAAGCAGTGAACCAAAATTGGTTTCTTTCATTGTTTCCATCGATGCAGGCGTCCTTTCGACGCTCTGAAGGGCAGAACTTAACAACAATGGCTGCAAGTAGCTATCTAGGCACTAGTTGCGGCCCAGAGTGCTTTCATTCATTTCAAAATATATATTGGATCAAAACCATTCAATGTGCATCAGCAGAAGCTGATGTAAGACCCTTATCTTCAGGAATGTTCACTGCCTCCCTTTGGCATATGCTATCAGACGTACGTTTGTGCTTCCCTGATGAGTCAAAAGAACGGGGAGCAAAGACATTAATGGAGTAGAGCACAAACCCCTTCGCTTCAGAATTACTTCTATCCCTTCCACACATAGTTTTCAAAGAGGTGGGGGATTAAACCCTTTGGCCTGGTGGATTTAACAGGTGGATACTGTGCCATTTCTGTCACCACTCTGGTGACTTATCAAGTTGCTCCATACAGTTGGAACCACTTTTCAGTGAGAGGTGGAGAAGAAGCAAAAGGGATTGGAGAACTACTTATCAGTTCACAAAACTAGTGATCAGGAGGGGAGGAGATCTGGCAATGATGGGTGGAAGAGACAGAGAGCTTCTCAACTTTTCTGGTTCACTAAGGGGCAGGCAGAGAAAGGCAACAAAATTCAACTAAGAGCAAAATCGTTGTAACATCACAGGAATTTGGACAGTGGGAAACCCACTTTCAGCGTCTATCTCTTTAACTGGTCCAGCAAACCAATTCACCATTGCAATAATAAATTGTTACTTCTGTAGCCATATCAAACCATAACTATAAGGCCGCCTAGGCCATCTAAATTGGGACACCTAAATCAAGCCAAAAGAGTTTAACCACTAACATCATGTTTTCTAATCATTCTAATTTCTCGTCACAATGAGGCTAAATCCCTAACCCCTTACCCCACAGCTTTTGACCAACCACCAGTGCATCCAAGAGGGGTGAAGATATGTATAAAGATTAGAAAAATGTTTTCCACTTTCGAATTCCATGATCCCATACAAGAATATAACAAAAAGGCTATACTACTGCCACTCACAATTCCCATTGCTTTTATAAAAACAAAATCAAACCTAGCTGTCCTCAGGCATCATCAACAACAGTAACCGTTTTGTTCACATCTTGTTATAGTAAATTTCAAGATAGATGGCTACAACCTAGCTCTCCTCAACCAAGAAAAATATTTCTTCAATTTTCTTCCCTCCCCCACAAATAGAAAGGGACGGTTTAGTCCATTATGTGAGGAAAGCCATCCTTTCAAGCAATATCATATTCATATATATTAATATTATCACCTGATGATAGATTAATTAATTACTGAAATGAAAGAATACTAAATGTTATCAAAGCACACAGCCCATATACCCGGATCCTTATCGTGGAATGTTGGATTCAGCGACACTTGTTCGTAGCCGATTGACAATCCGGCTTCCTGTCACAACAACCAGAAGGTAAAATGGTAAGAAAAAAAAAATGAACTTGATGGGGGACCTAGAGCAAACAATATACATGAGCAGCAAGATATTCTGTAATTATATAGGTAAATTGCTTAACCTGTAGATTATGGAAATTAGAATACATGGATTCATTATGCTGCACCAACATGCACACGTGTATTTGTAAGTTTACTTACATATCTAAAGTATAAACACATACAAAGAGTAAAAGAGAGGCATCTATACTATACACAGTAGTGGGGCGACCACGAAAAATGGTGGGTGGTGTCCACGTCACATGAGAGTACAAGACATACTATCTCTATATCTCTAATCCACTATAAAGGGCCCATAAAGCCACCATCGTCATTTGTTTCCATTTAAATCCCCAGCTTTGTTATCTTCAACAGTAGTAGTGGCTGCAAATTGCCAAATGCCTAATATCACAGCCACAAAATTATTACTTGTTTGCATTTTGTGTAATATGGGCACATGATGCCATATTCCACCTTCTTCTTCACATTGTTCATAGTGCTGTCTGTAATATGTCTCGCCTGCTAAAATGCCTAGCTATAAACTTGTCAATCAATTGATGGACCTATGGAAATCCAGTTCCCCTATCTCTAAAAATTTTCCGTTCTCTAATCACTTGAAAGTGAAAGCTAGGTTGATTCGTGATCTGCCTACACCACTAGAAAAGACACCTCTAACTATAAACCCATCTCCTGATTTATCTCCTAATGGTACTGAAGGACAGATGTACGGCCAACCAGTAAAGATGAGCCCTGTAAAATTCTGGGGCGTGAAGTTACCTAAGTATTAAAGAAAGAGTTTTCAAACATGCACTGGGACATACAAATCTATTGAATGGTTCCTGACTAAACTATGCAGAGTCCTTAAAACCACAAGCACATCCATATTGAACAAGAGATGGAAACAAATCACTACAGTGGCAAGTAAAGAAAAGGAAAAGAAGAAACAGAGGGAAGCTAAAGACAAATGACAGTACCTTTCTACATATACATGTTGCTCCTTGGCCTTGAATAGAAGGGATATTTCTGTGTTAAAGAGGATAAAGAAAACGATCTCTCCATAATCTCCCTCCATTAATATATGTCCTGCAACGAGAGTGAAAGTAGGAAGGTCATTTTTGTCTTTACACATTTATTATTTATTTCATATAAAAATAGCAATATCAAGTTTTGAACCCGGGTCTCTTCAAACAAAGATAACAAGCACAACCAGTTACACTAAACAAATTTATTGCATCCTTTTTTATACAAAAAATAGACAAAGTTAATCTCTGAAAATCAGGACTTTTTCATCATAATTAGCAAGCTCACTAAGTCTACCGTATGTATTTTTATCGAGCTTGATACTTCTATTTTCCTAATAGAGTTTCATGTAATTTTCTCAATTTTAAATTCCCGCTCTCTCCTTAATTTTTGCTAAAGGTAAATGGGTAATTAGCCAACATGGAAGAAATTAATTATGTAACTACTGTTGTATCCTCGCATTTTTCAATTTAAATTTAAATTTTGTGTTTTTTTATCTTTGTTCTTTTCTCTTTCTAACTTCCTCCGAAATTTCATCCATCGTGCAATCGTTTGCGCCTTTCACTTCCCAGTACAAGACTGTTATTGAAAATCAATCTTCAGGTATCTCTTGGCACTACGGTTTTATTGTTGGGGATTTTAAACTGGGCGAGTAGAAGATTTCAACTCCGATATCAATTCATGGCGAATAGAATGGAGTTCATCAATAACTGAAGTTGTAGAAGAAAGATTAGAAATTGAATTTTTGGTTGAATATATGCCTCTTGAGATAGAAATTTGGTTGTACAACGGAGAGTGATGGCTATTGGATCTTTAGGTTTATGGTTTTTGCAACTGTCATAACCTATTTCTATCTTAAAACGAGGAATCATTGATTGATTGTTTGAATTCTTTATTCAACCTACTGGAACTAATAGATAAGGAGTGTCTAATTTTGCGCCTTATTACTTTGATCGAGTCTATTCGTATATTGGAGATAACCCTGATTTTTTCATTTGCTCTCAAGTTGTGATGGTCTCCTCTTAGCTGAGTTTTTAGTATATAGATGACTTGAATCAACAACTCTCTATTTCTTTTTTATTAGTGACATTGTTTCTAAAAGGAGAGCATTGAACCCTTTATATAGGATTGCGAGGTTTAAGATTTAGTTTCAAACTATCTATGGGTTGTGTGAGAATTTCAGTGAGCTTTTATACTCTATATTTCTTGATTGTCAAAGAAAACTAACCAATAGCATTTTAACAGAGACTTAATTAGCATTATGAAAATGGGCTCAATGATACATTTTTATATTTTATATTCTTAAATGATTATGATATTTCTCCGAATGTTCGACCTATATATTATTTCTTTATGTATCATCTCGATCGAATAATTATCAATAAAATTAAACGGGTTAATAGACTTAAAAGTAACATAAAAATACAAATAATCATATATGAGCATTCCGGCCAAAGGGCCGGGTTATAAGCTAGTTATTAGAAGATTCCTTTAATACATTCTTTGAATAGAATCCTTCTTATGCACTGGCATTTCTTTCATCTGTCACCATTAGAGTTGGAATGATTAGATGAGCCCTATCTCCTCCCATATATCGTCATTAATTTGAGTATCTTTGTTTTCAGATATCAGTCTATTTAAGATGCAGGAAAGAGGAGATTAAGATGAGCAAAAAGAGAACAGAACCAAAGAAAATGAGAATGGTAATTTGAATCCAAAGCCACAGCAACTTGCAGTAGCCTGGGGCGGCCCAGAAGACCCAATGACCAAGCATCAATGAACCACTACTTTGTTTAGAAACAATTGTCGGGCCTCATTAAGTATGCCTGGCAAAATGAATTATATCCAGGAAATAATATCTTACTCCATAATCAATTTTTATTTTAGGAGGCGGCCACTAAGATGACACTTGAACAGTTCCTGTTCTATCTCTATTCCCTGCTTTTACAAAATTTTGTCCTCTTCTTTCTTTTTCCTTTTACTGGACATGTATTTTTATATGGCATTCACAAGGAATACTCCTATCATTCCCTCAAATTGGGCGGGCAGAAAGGAAGAAGTCTAGGAACTTCCATAAGCTTTTATTCCCTATTATCCAATCATGTCAATGAGCCAATCCTTATTCTAGTAAATTTTCCTCTTAGCCTCACACTCGGTTGACACCTTAGGAATACATCAGGTTTCATTTGTTACCAACAAGACAGTTCTTTTTCAGAAAGGGGGGAAAAACATTCACTCAACATAATCAGTAGTGTAACAATCAAAAGTAAAAAATTCAAAAGAAACACCAAACTAACATCAAGAATGTAAATATACTTTAAGAAAGAAAAACCATGTATCATCCATGGTCACCTGATTGGCAAACCTGTTGTTTTGTTGCGTAAACAAAGGAACAATGATCCAATCCGAGGTTCGAAGGAGTTCTGTCATAGTGGAATGCCAGGCAAAAATTTGCCAAGGCGGTCAAGACAGCAGAAAACCAAGCAGGAGGCTAGAAAGAACTTGCAAAGATCTTCAAATCTTCGAGGAGCAAGAGGAACTGATACAAAGCAAGATGAGCTAGCTGATCGTGGAAGTTATTTCCACATCTCAGCTTATTACTTCGGTTATTTCACATTATAGTGGCTGGCGTCACAAGCATTAGCTACCCTATCACATGAAGTGCACGCGCACTCCAATTGTGCGGTGTGGATTCAATATCAAAATATGGACATATTATGTAGTTATTTTATTTGGAAAGAGATAATTGGCAGAGTTTGTCCACTACCCAGAAATACGCATATATAAATGTTCCCCCCAGCGTGCCCCTAAAGTGCCAAGCATCAGCTAAGAGTAAGAAAAAGTTGCAGAGAGACCGAGTAGGAAAGAAACAGAGAAGAGAGGGAAAAGGAAAGGAAGGAAAGAAGATGATTCAAGACGAAACCAGAAAGGGTCCTTGGACAGAACAGGAGGACATCCTCCTGATCAACTTTGTGCACTTGTTTGGGGATCGACGATGGGATTTTATTGCTAAAGTTTCAGGTTTGAAGGTGGCGGGAGACGCGTAATAGGTACGATAATCTGGGGATGGTTGGCCTCGTAAATGACCTACCGTTAACGACCTGGCTTTTATAAATTGGTTGTAGGTTTGAACAGAACAGGAAAGAGTTGCAGGTTGCGATGGGTTAACTATCTGCATCCTGGACTCAAGAGGGGAAAGATGACCCCTCATGAAGAAAAACTTGTGGTGGAGCTTCATGCCAAATGGGGAAACAGGTATGGCAATTCAATGATTCATAGAGCAACTAATCAATTATGATCTTTTTTGATAGGTTTAGAGCTTTCACAAATCTAAACTGAAACCAATCTTATCTTATGAAGATGGTCAAGAATTGCTCGCAAATTACCAGGGCGAACTGATAACGAGATCAAGAACTACTGGAGGACTCATATGAGGAAGAAGGCTCAGGAGAGGAAAAGGGCTGCTACCATGTCTTCCCCATCATCATCATCATCCAATCATTCCTCTTCTTCCCACACTACTACTGTGAACTCGTCACCTTTCCCGGAGGCTGGTGAAGAGCAGCCTAGCTTCTACGACACCGGAGGGAACCAAGTGGCAGCGGCAGTAGCTACAACTGGCAAAACTAACCATCTATTGCATGTAGGCGACAAAGGATACTCGATGGATGACATATGGAAAGACATAGAGGACACAATATTTGAACCAGTAGTTTCTGAAGGCTTAACTGAAGAAGGCTGCAATTTCTCTGGCCCGCCTCCTATGGTCTCTCCAAACTGGGACTACTGCACTACAGACACACTCTGGAAGCTGGATGATGAAGAGGAGAGTAAAATGTTTCTTCCCTATGACTACGGAACTCTGTTTTTAACTGGCTAGTATAAAGGAAATTCTTTATTCAGATTTTTGTTCATACTGCTGTGATGTGTCTGTGAGGAAGCTCTAACCTGTACAGCATGGGGTTTTCCTCTATATGCATAAAGCTAAGTCCTTGTGTCTTTTTAGTATTATGTTCAATCCTCGGAAGTAGGAAGAGAGATAGGCATGCCACATCTCCCTTGGGGAGAGTGCTTTATGTTCAAGAATGTGTAATAGAAGACTTATAGTACTATCAATAAGTTTCAATCAAGCTAGTTTTTGCATGATACTTACTTCGTATTCAAAGAATAGAAGTGTACAGTTGTAAGGAACAGAAACAGTAAGCAGATAAGCACAAGCACAATATGGATTAACTGATACTTTGCCCTCTCAAACACATCATCCTAATGGTTCATGAATAACTATGTCAACCATCTATAACCTTCGCATTAGTCTTCCAAACTGTAGTTTCCAGCCTATAAGACACTAAACAACATTATGCTTGTGTGCAGTAAGTGGAGAAGTCTATGCCTGCTATTGTTCAGAATTGCTGCTCTGGTCACAAGAGTTCATGCAAAGGTTCGTAAGAAGTTAATTAAGATTATTAAGGAAACAAGTCATGATGGACTTGAGTAGGCAGTCTGTAAACGTGAGAAATTTAGTAAAGTTATCTTTTAGTTAGTTGAAAGGATCCGGGACTATATTAAAAAATATCAAAATGGAATGCTGATAGAGGATGAATGAGAAGTGCACCATTGCTCAACTTTCAAGGACTAGCCCACAAGCCCCACATGTGTTTGATCCTTGGCCTAATATTAAAGGTCTCTACTTTACTTGTAAGATGCCTAATAATATGCTCTTGAAATACTAATTAGCTTAGTGCCTGGCTGAGCCCTCTATTATATTTTTTTGGCAAAGTTAATCATCATAGCTCAATAGAAAAAGCCATACATGAAACAATTATAATAATTGAAGAAATTGAACACTACTAAATTTATCATTTCATCATGCATGATTCAGCAAGCATACTCTCACTAAACTGGGCCATGAAAGCCACTCAGAGCCAACAGAATACTTCTCCAGTCCCCTTCAATGACCGAAAGAAAAACACACAAATGACTCTAAAGACTAAGGTCCAAGCAAAAGGTTTAATATCTTCTAACAGTGAAATCAAAATTTGATTGCAAACTAACCCAATAGATTGATCAAGTGGTGATTTGGTAGGATAAGGTTAACCATTATCTGGGTACAATCATCTCAAAAGAATTTGGTTGCAGACAGCTTCGCCAAACCAGTATTACTTGGTTGTTGTCTGCTATAGAAAGAGCAAGCTATATGGCTTTAGAATTGCTGGTGAAGAAGGAATAAATTGGTTTACTTGACTACTGTTTGACAATGATCACTACGTGCTTCAAAGATTATATCCTTCAGGGATACAAGGTGCGGAAAAAGAAAGCAGAACAGCAGGAAACAAACGAGCCCTATGATCTGTCTTTAATCTCTAAAGTATTGTGGAAGGACTTATTCTCAATTTCTCATCCAGTCTAAGACATCTAGTGATACTGCTTGTCGGCAAACCCTAACAAACTAGTCGTCAAAAGCTAAACTACAAGCATCCTTCAAACCTCCATGTCAATACATTTACACTAAAGAGAGTCAGCCCACAGCAATAGCTCGTAATGGAACTACAATGAAGAATCAACACCAAAGCACTACTTCTTGCAGCAAGAAAACAACGGCTGGTATTCGCAATTCAGAAGTAAGCTACAACATTGGAGTCACAGCCATATCCAAAGCAATTAGGTTAGCATATGGATCTCCAGAGATAATCTATTTCGATCAAAACTAAAACCAACCCATGTTGGTACTCCTTACGGATACCATCAACGGAGAACTCAGCACACTGAGCAATCAAAACTATCACACAAGCAGTACAAGTAAAAAATGGCAAAAAGAAATTGGCATCTGGATTCACACAGTACACTGACCAGCGAATCGCGATCCTAACCCCTCCATTCAGTCGAGTGATCACTGACCTTGATCTATGCATGCGAGTCCGCCGTGGCGTAAGATCCCTAGCGCAGATCCTTCTATGGCGAGCAATTTCGTATCTGCAACGCCAAAGGAAGCAACGTAAGTATGAGCGTAACGGAAGGACGAAGATCCATGAAATCAGAATAGCGAGATTGCCAATGGCTCTTACTCCGACATTGGGAATAAAGAAGTAGACATTCGAGCTGAAGATGTGACACTGCTCTGCCTGCAGTCGCTGAGAAATCTGAAAAGCGAACAAATGTCGTGAAGAGGAGCCAATAAGAAGATAGGGATTTGGAGGCGAAACGAGAATGAGGCGGAAGAGAACTTACTTCAAGGTCGAAATTTTGAGCGATTTCAAAGCAACAAATACGCCGGTTAGGCATTGTGTGCGTAAAGAGAAGAAACGGAGGAGAGCGTGGAGTTATACGCCGCCATGACTCAGCCTCCAGCCCTTTGTGGCTTTGTTATTCCAGCTTCTTGGTTTCCCGCCATATCCATTTATCCAAGGTTGTTTGTTTCCAGCATGAATTTATCCAAGGTTGTTTGTATTGGGCCAAACATTGAGACACCTGGCCCAAAGAACACTAAAAGCCCACATGTGACCAAATAAGGCCCAAGACAGGGTCCATGGGCGGAGGCGGTCTCGCCGAATACGATAACAAGACCGCCCGACATCTGAGAGCCTGAGCGATCATAGATCGCCCGACAACCTGGCTTCACGGTACGAAGTCTGACAGAACACACCAAGCAGGCCAGAGGCATCCCTAAACGCCCGATAGGCCATTTAATGCCCACACCTCGGTTGGGACTAGTATAAATACCCATCAAGGGGTCACATTTATGGTAACTTCAACTACTTCATTCTCTCTCTTATCTACTCTTCTCTCAATCCTCTCTCTAACTTAGGCATCAGAGGAGGTCCCAGGATCCCCTGAGGACCTTTCTTGCAGGGATTCGAAGACCGTCTGCGACCATCGAAGCCGCTCGAGGCCGTCGGGACTCACAAAACCCCTTGGTACGATCCAAGCACAAACATTTTGGCTCCCATCGTGGGGCCCTACGACTTCGTTGCGGAAAAGATGGGAGACGATTTCGAAACCCCTCTCAAAGGAATGACAGAGAACAACACCCTCCGAGGCCTATCGCCGAGAGGCAAGGATGAAGTCGAGCTTGAAGAGTTGGTCAAAAGTCAGGGCTTGCAAATCGCAAGCATGCAAGACATCCTCTCTCAAATCCTCCAACTTCTAAAGGCCAAAGAAGACCCCCCCCCCCCCGGGAGGGTTCAAGGGGAAGGGCACGAGAGGAGAAACAAAAGTCTGTCCACGTCCCAGGCAGCCCTGCTCAGACAGAAGGCGGGAGACCGGACGCAGAGGACTTGGATCTCAGCTTCCTCGAAGAACATCTTCGCTCAACCTATGGGAAGCACAAGAGTCCGAACGTTCTCCAAAACCCCTGTCAAAGGAACTCTTCAAAACTCCAGTCCCGCCAAACTTCTCCTCCCTCGGACTACCAACCTACAGCGGGACCTCAGATCCCGCGGACCACCTTTGCGCCTTCATGTTAAAGATGCAACTCATCAATGCGTCGGACTCAGAGATTTGTGTCGGGCGTTCCTCGTCACCTTCAGCGGTCAATGCCGAACATGGTATACCTCCCTTCCATAAGGGATAATCGAAAGTTTCGAGCAATTTGCTTTGCTCTTCTCCACGAAGTTCGCTTCACAATGGCGTCGCAAGCTTACCGTCTCAGCCCTCATAAACTGCAGGCAAAGGAAAGAAGAGTCGCTCGCGGAGTTCTACGACCGATGAAACGCGATCGCGTGTGAAGTGGAAGGCATCTCCTCGGTCGTAGCTGCCTGAAATCTCAGAATATCCACGACCAGCATCGAGCTCAAAAGAACCTTGATAAAAAAGGAAGCCATCTGACATCGTGGTCCGACTTGGATCAGTTGGTGCGCCGAGCAATTTTGCTTGAGGAGGCGCTCGCCACAGAGGATCGTGGTCAACAGGGGCGCCCCAGGAACGATCCCTCAAAGCACTCGGACGCACGACGGGGAAGGCTCTCTCCAGAAAGGAAGTCGTACCGCAGTCGATACACAGAGAGTGATGGAAAAAGAGAAGTATTCTCCGCCGACCGAGAAAGAGGAAGAGAAAGACGAAGAGGTGGGAGGACACAAGAACCGCCTTCCACTCAGGAACCTCGGGAAGGAAAGAAATGGTGCGACTGGCACCAAATCACTACTCACGACACCGCTGAGTGTAGGGAGTTCAAAGCCAGCCTGAGATACTTAGCTCCGAGTGACCTGCGGAGTCGCCTCGAAACTCGGCGTTCCCACCAAGACCACTCCCCCGAAACACGGGAAGGATCTCGCAGCCCGGGAATAGACAAAACAAGAAGGTCGAGGAAAGACAGGTCGCGGTCCTCGGCCAGGAACAAGGCCTCCTCTCCTCAAAGAGAGTCCCCCACCTACAGAACCCAGCGCAATGACGATGATGGAATGGAAGTCATAACCATAGCAGGGGGAAGAAAACGCCCAAGGACCGAAGGAGACCGCATTTATCACTGCCTAAACGTCCAACGTAGAGTTCCAACTGATGTCACGTTCCTCCCTACCGAGCTAGCCAAAGAAGAAAATTCGGAAGACCCCTTGGTCATCTCTTTCCGAACTGCCAAGTTTAAAGTCACCCGCGCCCTTGTGGACAACGGAAGCTCAGCGGACATCCTCTTCTACTCAGCACTCAAGGGAATGAAGAAGAGCGTGCAAGACCTCAACCCCTCCAACACCAGCCTGGTGGGGTTCTCAGGAACCAAGGTTCGGGTCCTCGGGTCAATCACACTCAAGGTCACCATAGGAGAAGGGGGAATCACGAAGAGTAGGCCAGTTGAATTCCACGTAGCAGACTTCCCATCGATATACAATGCCATCCTGGGACACGGCTTCCTTGCGTCCTTTGAGGCGGTTGCATCCACATGCCACCAAATGTTGAAATTCCCTAGTAGGGGGCACACGGGCCGCATTCGGGGCAACATAAAGGAAGCAAAGGAGTGCTACCAAGCAACCGTTGAACACCTCGAGGTAGACCTAGTGGATGCAAGAGGAGACATACCACGCCCTGAAGCGGTCGAAGGAGACATAACAGTTTCCTTGGATGAGGAGCGACCAGACAAAATAGTGCGCATCTCAGCGCATCTCGCCACCGAAGAGGCTCAAAAGCTACTTACGCTCCTTAGAGAGTTTCAAGACCTCTTCGCGTGGGGGCCGGAGGATATGCCCGGCGTTCCCCGTTCGGTTTTTGAACACCGGCTCTCCGTCAAGTCCAAGGTGCGACCCACTCAACAACGAAGGAGACACTTGTCTCTCGAGAAGCAAATGCCTCTAGAAGAGGAAGTGCGGCGTCTACTTAAAGCCGGCTTCATACGAGAGGTGCGATACCCCACCTGTCTCTCAAAACCGATCTTTGTACGTAAATCCGGAGTCTCTTGGAGGATGTGTATCGACTTCATAAGTCTCAACGCGGTGTGCCCAAAGGACACGTACCCCCTTCCCCGCATCGACCAGCTCATTGATGGGACCGCTAACCATGAGGCACTCAGCTTCCTAGACATGTTCTCCGGCTACCATCAAATCAAAATGGCGAAAGGCGACCAAGAGCTGACCCCATTCATGACACCCATGGGAAACTAGTGCTACGTATTCATGGCCTTCGGGTTGAAGAATGCGGGAGCAACCTATCAATGGATGGTGGACGCGGTCTTCAAGGAACAAATGAGGAGGCACGTAGAAGCATACGTCGATGGCGTCCTAGTCAAAAGCAAGAAGGCCGGCAACCACCTATCAGACCTGCGAGAAACCTTCGAAACCTTGCAAAGGAGGAACCTGAGGCTCAACCCCCCTGAAATGCGTCTTCGGGGCAGAAGCGGGAACGTTCCTAGGATTCATGATCACCAAGAGGGGATTTGAAGCAAAGCCCAAGCAAATTGAGGTTGTCCTCAACTTGAAGCCTCCCAAAATTATCAAGGAGATCCAAGCGTTCAATGGCAAGATGGCCGCACTCGGGAGGTTCATCCCGCGATCTGCCGATAAGTGCTCTCCTTTCTTCCAGATGCTAAAGAAATCAGCGTCTAGGTTTCAATGGGGCACCGAATGTGATAAAGCATTCGCATTGCTTACCAGCCAGCTCAGCTCACCACCCGTCTTGAGTGCCCCCATCCCCGGGGAACGCCTCTACCTTTACCTGGCGGTTTCCGAACAAGCCGCGAGCTCAGCCCTGGTGAGAAGAGAGCCAGACGGCACAGATAGACTCGTTTACTACGTGAGCAAAGCGTTCTTGTCCGCCGAAACAAGGTACATGCCGATTGAGAAGGCGGTCCTCGCAGTGGCTTCCGCGGCTAGGAAGTTAAGACCGCATTTCCAGGGGCACCCAGTCACCATACTATCTAACCTCCCGCTGAGGAGTATCATGCGGGGAATGGACGCCTCCGGAAGGCTAACTAAGTGGGCAATCGAGCTCAGCGAGTATGACATTGAGTATGCCCCAAGGCCCGCCATCAAGGGGAAAGTCCTAGCAGATTTCATTGCCGAGGGATTCTCCCTAGCGACCTCCCCCTCGGAAGAACGCCATCAGATCTGGCGCTTGTTCATTGATGGAGCAGCGGGAAAGGCCGCCTCTGGGGCAGGGATAGTCATAGAATCCCCTGACGGGGTCGTCCATGAAATCTCACTAAGGTTCCGAGATATCAAGACCAACAACGTCGCAGAGTACGAAGCCCTTATCAACGGGCTCAGACTGATAGCCAACATGGGCGCGTCAGATGTGCACATCTTCTTTGACTCGCTCTTGGTGAAATAAGTGCATGAGACATTCGAAATCAAGGATGACACATTGGCCATGCTCGCTAGCAAAGTCAGAAGCGCTCTCGCGCAACTGAACTTGTGGAAGCTTGAGCATGTTCGGCGCGACGATAATCAGCACGCCGATGCGTTGTCCAAGTTGGCAACCGCCCTCGAATTCGAAGGGGACCGCCATGTGACCGTCACGAAGGAGGGCGACTCTACAGAGGAAGTCATGAATATCAGAGACACCTCGGATTGGAGGACCCCTCTGTTTCAATATTTGGAACACGACATAGCTCCCCAGCATCCAACCGAGCGGAAGGCGCTCAAGCGAAAGGCGGCTAGGTACACCGTCGTGGACGGCCACCTCTGCAAAAGATCGTTCTCGGGAACATACTTAAAGTGCCTCGGCCCGGAGGAAGCAAAGTGGACCCTAAGGGCGATACATGAAGGGACGTGCGCAACACATGCCGGACTAAGGTCGCTCAAAAGAACGGTTCTCCTACAGGGCTACTGTTGGCCAACGATCAAGAGAGACGCGCCAGACGTCGTTCAAAAATGTCATGCCTGCCAGGTGCACGCCTCCAAGCATCATCTCCCCAGCACCGATCTCCAAGGGGTGGTGGGCCCATGGCCATTCGCTAGGTGGGGGCTTGATCTGTTGGGACCTTTCCCTACCGCTCCGCTCGGAAAGAAATATCTTGTGGTCGCTGTCGACTACTTCACCAAGTGAATCGAAACAGAGCCACTAGAGACAATCACGAGCGCGAGAGTCCAAAAGTTCGTGTTCAACAACATTATGATTCGCTTTGGAATCCCGCAGTCGATCGTCACTAACCATGGCACGCAATTCGACTGCCGGCCGTTCGAAAATTTTTGTGCGAGAAACCGCATCTCATGCACCAAGGCATCAGTGGCGTACCCACAGACCAACGGCCAAGCCGAAGCGTCCAACAAGCTGATCCTTCAAGGGTTGAAAAAGCGCCTTCGGGACGCGAAAGGGGCATGGACTACAGAACTCCCGCATATCTTGTGGGCGCATCCAACGACCCACAAGACTGCCACGGGTGAAACCCCCTTTGCTCTGACATACGGTTCCGAGGCGGTCGTCCCGGAAGAGCTGAACTTGCCATCTCTCCGCGTCCAAGCATATGATCCGGAAGCCAATCACAGGAAGCTCCTGGAACAATTGGACATGCTGGAGACAAGGCGCGATGCGGCCCTTGAGCGCATCATGAGCGAGAAAGCGAAAGTGGACCTTTCCTACAACAAGAGAGTGAGACCGCGAGTCCTCGAAGAAGGAGACATGGTCATCAAACGAGATTTTTAGAAGAAAGAGGAGCATGGCAAGCTCGCGGCAAATTAGGAAGGCCCCTTCCTCATCGGCAAAAAAAACAGGTCCTAACACCTTTCGCCTCACCACCATGGAAGGAACACCAGTATCCAAGACATGGAATGGCATGCACCTCAGAAAGTACTACTATGAAACAGTTTAGAGTACGCTAGGTTTGAACGAAGATGTTTTGGTGGCCAGGGTAGCATACCCGCCACGTAGAAGTGTATTGGTCGCTCTTATGCTTCCACTTTTGCCTTAGTAATACACTCATATTTTCGGCCAAAACTTCGGGTCACTACGCGTCTTTAAAAGAATCAATGGAACCCACAAACACGTCGACTCGCCTCAAAGCAGGAACACCCCCTGTTGTCCTTGTCCCTTACTAAAGGAAGATAGCAAATAGGTCAAATGATGCAAGACTCACAGAATAAATGAGCACGACACATAACCATGAAAGACCGCTGAACGGTCTCCCGCCAAATGAAGGGAAAAAGGAACAATTGAAAGCGGTCCCCGGAACTCCGCGACCTTTCGATCCCTCCACCCTCGCAGCATGGATCTGCTCCCGCGCGAGGATTGAAATGCGTGAATAAATGAAGCCTAACAAATTAGAATACAACCCATTAGCATAAATTCTCTCCAACGCGGTCAACATGAAACGCTTCCTTGGCCGACAAGGAAAGCCAAAAGCCCGCTGCCAGCGCGGTCCCCACGAACCGTCTTTCCAACAAGGAAGGCAAAAATCTGCTCCAAGACAATCTCCAAGGATGTTTTCACGACAATGAAAAGCACATGCCTGCTAACACGCGGTTACAATACCATAAACCTGCTCCAACGCGGTCACCACAAACTGTTTTGCATAACAAAAAATATTCATAAAGGAAAGCGTCTAGGGTTCTCAAAACCCTCCGAAAGATGGAAAGATTCGGAAAAAATATGCCAAGAGGATCTCAAACACACGGAGAACCCCGGCTACCCGCACCACCTTCCTCGACGGATTCCTCCTCCTCAGAATCGTCCCCCTCTGAGTTCACGTCGGAAGAAGACCACTGGCTGATGGCATCCCACACGCGGTCTGTGTCCCACAGAACGTCAAGCCGCTCCTCACAAAACAGGTGGCGTATAGCAGCCACCACGTTGCCTACTATCTCCTTATACTTCGCCTTATCATGGGCAAGAAACTCGGCCGACTTCAGGTATGCAAGACCAGCTTCAGATCGAAGAGCGGTCATCTCTGCCTCATGGTCCACAAGTAAAGGCGCCTTCTCCAACCGCAGGGCGTCCACTTCCTTGCGCAGCGCTTCTTGCTCCTCCAACAATGTTTTCTCAATCTCGCTTGACTGACGAAGAGAATCTTGGAGACGGTATCTCTCCTCGCGAACCGCCTGGGATGCCTCCCTCTCCTCGACTAAGTCGTGATCCTTCCGGGCCAACCGCTCATGAAAGCTCTGCTCTATCTGAGGATGCAGTTCCTCCACCAATGACGCCCTCCCTCCCTCCAGGATTTTCTTAAGATTAGCAATCTCAACCGCGTTATCATCAACCGTCTTCGATAGGCGGTCATTAAGCAGGATGATCTGGGAGAACCCAATCTGAGCCTGTAGTACAAGTGTCAGAGCGGTCAAAACAAGCATATCACAAGCATGATTGAAAAGAGTTAAGGTACTAACCCCAAAGAAAAACAGCGACGCGGTCCCAGCCAAACGACGGTTACTCCCCTGAGTCCTGGCAGTATACTCGTTGGGAATCACAAGCTGCTCACTGATCGCGTGAAAAGCTAGCTCAGGGGCTTCAGTGTCGGTAGCAGCCAAAGGTGGCACATCCACACGGCTCGGTTTATCGGACCGCTTCACTCCCTTTCCACGCCTGTCCTCCACCCTAGAAGGAGAAGCCCGAACCTTGGTGCACTTGGCGGCCGCTTCCGGTGTCTCTTGCGGCAACAATCTCTTGCCCGCGCCCCGAGTCACGGGAATCGCCCCACCTCCAGCCGCATCAGAAGGGGCAGTGTTGGGACGAACTGGGGAAACCGCCGGTGGATCAGCCGCGGCAGCCGCCACTGACAAGGACGCGACTCTCGCCCTAGCGGTCCTTACCAACTTCTTCCTCCGAGGACGGTTTGCGTCCTCTAGCTCCCTCAAACCTGCAACAAGAAAGCATAAGTAAACCACATGAGAAGGATAAGAATTAAAGTCCATAAAATACACTACTAACCATAAAAGCCACAAACAAGCTGGTAGGCACTATCAAATCCATTGTGGCTCACACGCAGCTGGACCGCCGCCACAAGGCGTGCCACATGATCTCTCACCGATTGGGGAAACTGGTGGGAATCACACCAGTCATCTTTCGAGCCAACCGCATAACTCGTAGGCGGTTCGGTATCGCCAGCGTACCACTTCCAAGAAGGCCGCGCGAAAAAATACTCCTTATTCCAGGGCGAGTCCATCTTGGGCGCCCCAGTAACAAAGCCCACCGAATTCTCCCGCCTCCTGATCGACCAACAGTTGGTCGAATCTCGAATGTTATATATCAGTCTGAATGCGTCAAAGGAAGGTCTTCTTTAATACGGTCACAAGCAAGACGATACATGACTGAATGAAAGATGATCGTAGGTAAAAGCCGCCCCAGAGTGCAGTTGAGCCAGTTCAGGACCTTGGTCAAGATGGGCTCAAGCGGAAACCGCAACCCGAGCTTGACGTGCTCAACGAGAATGGGTATCCACCCGTCAGGGCAAGACCCGGAGCGACTAACCTCAGAGGGAGCCGCATACTGCCAATCTGGGGGCATACGAAGCGGCTTAAGGCGGTGCAACACCTGCTCCGTCTTGAAGGCCGCACAATGCGGAGGTCCCTGTCCAAACACCTCCGCAGGAATCGGCTCACCACCCCACATTTCCGTATGACGTAAGACGGTATAAACCGAGTCCTGAATGGCAACCGGGAGCGGTGTCGGCTCCCCGGACTCCACGATCTCCAGAGAAGAGGAGGCACTGGGAGACGCCTCCGAGCGTACCGCCCCGCTATCTGTCTCGAGATCCTCTTCCAATGGTATACTATCTAGGTCTACCTGCTCAAATTCACCCAAATTATCCCCTACTGCTGAAGACGTAGCCATAACCCCAACTGGTACAAGGCGCATGTTAGCACAATAGTTATCTAAGCCTATACATTCTCCGACAAGACAGTCGTCCAATTCAGAACCATTCCCAACATATAATTCTAGCCCGGATAAATCCCAAACACACTCAGATGTGTTCGGATGTGAGAAGAATGTTTCGTACATTGCGAGGCGGGGGCGTTCACAGCGACGCTCGCGGTTTTCGCCCGCGCGGCTGGAACCGCCGATGGGACAACCGAGCTCGACAGGTCCCTCTCTGGCACAATCAAAGGTGTGGAATCGGAAACGGGCACACCCCCGGCCACGGCGACACCGTGAACATCATCGGACAGAGAAGGAGGACCTCCACCCGACATCTGCATAGCATTGACGGCCGTCGAGGACCCCGACCCCAAAAAATCGAAAGGAAACACCGATTGCACAAACAAAAGGAGGTGAGAAGAAGAAACAAAGAGCTCGCGGCACCGCTACTAACCGAAGAAAGGGAGAAGCCATACCTGGTCTGTCGATCGGATTATATAGGGGTCGGCGGCACCAAACTCTGAGCACCAGCAGAAGAAAGGGAAGAGGAAGAAGATGACTGTTTTCTCAAACAAGGAGGGGTTTTTGGCGGAAAAATCCTTCCCCCAAGCACTTATAGCGCAAAAAGGGAAGTTTCGAATCCCGAAGTGACAAGTCTCGGTCGCCGAGACTCGCGAAGCCCGGAGATGACGTTCTGCCTGCCGATGTTGGGGCTCAGCGCCCGATACACGATACGTGGCGAAGGCAGATGTCAAAAGGAACCGCCTCATGTTACCCCTCAGGCGTTCCGTCGCTTTAAATCCCTGCGACTAGGGGCAAATGGGCAATCATAGGGAAAGCGGTCACAGGATGGCAAATCGTGGCATCATGGGCTAATGGTCCATACCCGCTCAATGATCGCAAAATGAATCAGTTAGACGCGAAAATCTAAAGCTTCCCCCGCCTAAGGGGCAAATGTTGGGCCAAACATTGAGACACCTGGCCCATTAGCCCAAAGAACACTAAAAGCCCACAAGTGACCAAATAAGGCCCAAGACAGGGTCCATGGGCAGAGGCGGTCTCGCCGAATACGATAGCAAGACCGCCCGACATCTGAGAGTCTGAGCGACCATAGACCGCCCGACAACCTGGCTTCACGGTACGAAGTCTGACAGAACACACCAAGCAGGCCAGAGGCGTCCCTGAACGCCCGACAGGCCATTTAATGCCCACACCTCAGTTGAGACTAGTATAAATACCCATCAAGGGGTCACATTTATGGTAACTTCAACTACTCCATTCTCTCTCTTATCTACTCTTCTCTCAATCCTCTCTCTAACTTAGGCATTGGAGGAGGTCCCAGGATCCCCCTGAGGACCTTTCTTGCAGGGATTTGGAGACCGCCTGCGACCATCGAAGCCGCTCGAGGCCTTCGGGACTCACAAAACCGCTTGGTACGATCCAAGCACAAACAGTTTGTTTCCAGCATGAATTTATCCAAGGTTTTATTTTTGAAAGATATTCCGGGTAGGATTCCGGAATAGTAAGGTTAAAGTTCAAAAGAAAGATAAACACGGTGGTAACAAGTCGTTGGACCAACGATAAGTTGACTTGTGTTGCCACGATATGGAGTATGGACAATCTTATTCTACCTACAAGGTGTCAAATGAAACTAAACACGTCGGAGAGATGATCGCAACACATGAATCTCCTTTAGAATGGCACCTCCCATAGCGCGAGACGTATCGTTCGCATTGTCCATTACGATGATCACCTGTTCATCACCACAGAAAAGAACATTAGTTACAAAGTGAGCTAGACACCAGGACATGACAGTGACGATCTGCTACTGCGGTCGTAGCAGGTGGGGTAGTGGAGAATAAGTCGGTGAAAGAGATGGATTTTGTTAGCCACTTGTTATTCAAGACGTTTAGCAACTCAAAATCAAGATAGAAAAATATGGACTGCACATATTTGGTTATTCATACACAAAATTCATGATCTATTGATCATCAAGTCACCTAGAGGTTTTGGTTATTCGTGTGTATTTTGCACCTCATATTTGTCTGGATTCGTCATATTAATTGTTCCTCCGTATTTTTTTCTTACAAATCCTCTGACAATACAAAACGCCTATGGCATCACGACAATCGTTCAAGCATTTGCCGTAACAGATGGGGTAAAACATTATTTGTATCATTATTTTTTGCTCCATTAGTTAGTTAATTAATTAATTTAAAATATAAAATCAATATTCTAATTACCTTTAATGCTTAATCATCTACCAAAACTAATAGTTTAATCTATTAATTTAGATTAACTTGAACTTCTTAAAATTTGGATTTCCTGACATGAACAGAGCCTTTTATGAACCATCACATTTAGAAAGAGCTTTGACAAAATAAAATTAGTAACAAAAGGGTGGAGAATTCACACTTGAGCTCATATATGGAGTTTTTCTAGGAAAAGATACCAAAAATTGAAAATTTTATAAAATTGTATGCCTTACTATTTCTAATACGAATCATATCATCCTGATATGATTATATCAGGAGGTGGAATGGTTCGTGATAAGGGTAGTAAGACACGAGTTTTTAACTTAGGGGTCGTTTGGAGAACATGATTTAGAGCGTGTATTCACTGAATTCATAGATTTTGTAGAAAGTTATGTATTTTTGTTGCTTTTTGTATTGTTGATTTTAGCTTTAGAGATTTCAAATATCTAAAATTTATGGATATCAAATCTCTTATAATTAGAGAGATTCTGTATCTTGATTCGTGAGAATTTTTTTTCCTACCTTTTTACTTTATTTCATTTATTTATCACATTAAATATATCATCAACAAAGCTTTTAATATTTCTCAGACCTCTCTATTTTTTATTTATTAAGGATAAACATGTTATAAAATATAAAATTAAAATTTGATTCTTCATTGAATGTTAACAATCACAATTACCAATCAATGAATATTTTACAATATGTTTTCAACAATCCGAATAGTTAGAATCTTTAGATTGTTGACTATCTATAAATTTAAACTCACATTCTCCAAACAATCCCTTAGTGTCTGTAACATCCGAATTATTTTTGTGATAGAAGATATTATCAACTTTGAGTTTTTTTTTTGTCAAAAGATATCATATATTGATCCAAAATAAAAGACAGTTACATCCTGGAAACCAGCCAGGTCCGGAAATCAAAGAAGCAACCCATAGTTGGATACAAAGAGAGGGCTTTTCTAGCTACCGAATGAGCTACCCTATTGTTCTCCCGACCTATAAATCGCACACTAAATCCAGGATGGGCACGGAAATAATGAACTATCTCTTCCAGGACAGCACCCAACCGGTTATCCCTTCTGTCAGCTTGACTAATTTTATCAATAATGACCTTCGCATCGCCCTCGAACCGGACCTCCGTCAAACCACACTCCAAACACCACAAAGTGGCCTCCCGAAGCACAAGCAACTCCACCACAGCAGGCTCGTCCATTTGGGGAAACTGCACCCTTTTTGCCAAAAGGAGTCTTCGCGCCGGGTCACAAAGAACCATCCCACCAACCGAATGTGACCCACTCCCAGTGGCCCCATCCCACATGCAAACCCGCCGGGAATCACCCACTTGAGCCACCAACTGAATCAACGGCCTAGTCACCCTAGGAGCCGGGTCCGATGGCAAGCCCACTCATTCCTCATATGGCTGGTTAAATAGGCGTATGAGCGCACGGAACCCAAATTGTTTGTATTCAAAGACAACCCAATTACGAGACCGCCAGATCCGCCAAAGGATGGCAACCACTGCCATAAACAACGATGGTTGATAGATAAGCGCCAACAGACGTTTGAGAAATAAAGGAAAGGAATGCTGAGGCAAACCCTCCCCCAAGTATTCCAACCTAGAGTAGTCCCAGAGAGCCCGCGCAACCGGACAATAAAGGAACAAATGTTCCATCGTCTCCGGGCTATCCCAGCAAACTGGACACCGGGGAAGCACATGAACCTTCTTCTCAATAAGCGCCTTCGTAGTTGGTAGAGCCCGATTAAGAATTTGATAGAGAAAAACCTTCAGCTTCGAAGGGATCTTAGCTTCCCACACCCTGATCCAACTTGGCTTATCCATCCAACTAACCGAGGATCGCCACCCACCCCTCCTCCTATCCGAGTCAACCACCAAATGGTAAGCCGACTTAACCGAGAAAACTCTGTCTGCCGTACTATGCCAGATAAGCTTATCAGCCACATTCTGCTGCGGGAGTGGAATAGCCTTAATGGCGCTGCAGGTAGGCGGATCAAACCATTGACTAAGCTTATCATCAGACCACCGCCCTACCCCTTCACAAATAACTTCCGCCACCAAGGGATCGCCCCCATCTGGTAAGATCATCGGATTATAGCAGCGTGGATCGAGCTGACACCCGAGAATCCAGTTAGAGTGGAGAAGAGAGGCCGATTGGCCATTGCCAATCTGCCACCTTAAACCCACCTCCAATAACTGTCTCCCATACAAGATGCTCTGCCACCCCCATGAGGGCCGTGATCTAGCCGTTTTTATCAACTTTGAGTTTAGTTCCATACCATTTTGTGTTTTGAATGTGCATTATAACGACTTTCCAACAATTCATTCTTCTCTATACTGCATTACTGCTCCACTCTAAACACATTTAATTTCAAAGTTTTCAAAAGAACTCCTTCAACTCACCAAAAACACATATTGGTAGCTAAAATTAGATTAATCTTTATAATTCATTGCTCTTTGGCAGGTACGCGATGGCGGTGGGAAATAATATAAACTCGCTCATCCTTCACTCCATCCATTAATGTTCCGAACAAACTCGAAATCAAGATAGCAAAACACATAGATGACCATAAAAGTTAACACAAGGAGATATGCATTACATCCATATCATAATCTATTGATCACGAAGTCCCCCCATCATATTACTGGCTAATCTAGTGTATTTTGCACCTCTAAGTTCTTGGAACTCGCCGTCTTCACTTGTCCTTCACATTTTTTCTGACAAATCGTCTTGCAAAAACTAACGCCGATATTTTGACGGCATACGTCTAAGCATTTGTCGTAACACGAGTCCCCGAGTAGAGAAGCAGCATCTCCTTGAGCAACCAACAGCACCGCCGCCATTACAATCAGAGCCACCATCACCGTACTCTCGAAAACTTTACGTTCCATAGTTCCTCCCTCCTCTATGTAAGAAATATATTCTCCTTTCAATTATTTTGGGTCTTGAGTTTTTGAAGTTTACTTAGAGGTGACTAATGCTACTTCCTCAACTCTCTCATTTATAGTGGGGGTCAGTGTAAAAAGGGAGAGTGTATAGTACCCAAATTTAGATACGTGTCGAAGTTTTCGTTTTCCCTTCTCTGGTTTCCATGTTTGCTTTGGGGTTTTTTGGAACCTTAATTATCATCATTTATTATATAATTTGACCGGATCTTTTCATTTACATCTAGATTTCCTCACCAAATCTCATTAACTCAAATACATTTTTCATTAGATTTCAATTATAAGCATTTTTAGTATATTCACAAATTATTATCATCATGGGAGCGGTTAATCACCGTGGCTACTAAGGGTAGAAATGGTATTTTGGTGCTTATTATTTTAGAAGTGATGCTATGTTTTATTGGTAGTGTTTACATTGGTATTGGTGTATATATGTTTTGATGGATTAGCATTCAATATTGAAATTGAGTTGGATGCGGAGCGCCTGCATAATGGTTGTAGGATGTGCATGGTTTGATATTTGTTCAGTATCAGTATCATTAAAATGAATTGTTTTGCTTGTCCATGTGTTTTAATGGTATTATTGTCTGTAGTTATGTGTTGGTAGACATATTGTTGATGTCGGTCTTCATCAGACGTCATAGGAGTATGATTTATTATTGTTTTGGTATTGATACATATCTTTCTCGGTATATATGTTTGGTCTAATAGGTATTGGTGTGGTCATACGTTGTTCAACCAAACTAATATCGCCGCAACAACAAGCAATAAATCAATACCAATCCATTAGAAAACACTACTATTGCACAAAACACCAATACCATTCGAGAAATAAAAACACTACCGTTTCACAAAACACCAATATCATTGCAGATTTAATCAATACCAATACATGCAAATCAACATCGTTACATGACAATCAATACCAATGCGGACAAACATTATCAATGCGAAAAAACACTACCACTATGAAAAGAATCACTAGTCACTACCATTTCAAAAAATACAAACCAATCTTTCTACTCTCTTCACGTCAAATCCTCAATCAATTTTTTTCCTTTCAAATCACAAAACAATTATCTTGCCAATATAATCAATAGGTTCAGCAAAGAAAAGTAGAAAACCCAGAAGCAATAAAACAAAAAATTAAACAACTTACACACTTCTAGTTCCCTCCAATGAAGAACTGCAAGCATATGATGAAGAAACACAAAACAAATCCGATTGCTTTGAGGCAGGAGGGTCGGAATGAGAGGACGGGGGAGGGATGGCCGGTGCGTTGGAGAGAGTGGAGGGATGGCCGACAGGAAAGCTCCCGAAGGGTATGGGAAGATAGAGAGAGGGGGGATCGGGAGGGTCGGAGAGAGAGGGAGGGGAAGGAATGGACGACGTAGATGTGCGGAAGTCATTGTTGTCGGGGAGGAGAGAGCTTGCGGTTGCGGCGGGTTTAACTGGAGGGGGAAGTAGGGTTAGGGTAGAATATATAGAATAATCAGGTGTGGTCTTTTTTTCTTCCAAAATTACCCTAAAGCAATCTTAAACGTGAGATTAAAAAAAGATAAAAAAGATAAAAATAAATGGTGGATACTAAAGTAGCCACAGTGACTACTTAAAGTCCAGTTACCGCCCTAACACATTCCTGATCATCATTGTTCAAAGCATAACCTTATGATGAGGGTATTTTTTGGTTAAGGTTTGGATTTTGGGCTTGGGTGTTCTTCCTTTGTGTTGTGGTATTCCTTGTGCGTTTGGGGTTAGGGTAGTCAAGTAGGAGAGGGTATTCGGGTAGTATAAGGTTTGCGTATTAAGCTTTTCTAAGCCTATAAATATGTAAGTTCGGAGGAAAGATGCTCTGCGCTGGAAGCGGCGGTAGAGGAGCTGCATGGGATGTGCAAGCCAACGCGACCGGCCTTGAGGACTTGGGGGTGCGGATGACGAGCGTTGAGGAGGTGCTGAAGACGCTTGTGGCCAAGATCGATGCGTTAACACCGCAAAGAGAAGGGAAAGGAGTGATGACAATGTCATTTAGTGGGGAAGAAAGCTCGGAGGAGAAGGAAGGGGAGAAAAGCACAATCGTGATGAAGACCGGCGAGAGGAGTTTGACTGGGCCTTAGCGAGGAAGCAGCGACGGAAGGACTTCCGACGATGGGGATGGACAAATTAGCTGCGGGGAACCTTCGTCGCGAAGCTCACTTGGTTGGAATCCCTGAAGTTTACGGGGGAGGATCCAGGGTCATGGTTTCCTCGGGTGAAGTAGTTCTTTGAGTGCCAGGAGGTTCTGGAGGATCAGAAGGCGCCTCTAGATACGTTTCATCTGGAAGAGAAGGCAAACCAGTGGTGGCAGTGGTTGAAGCGGACCTATAAAGACCCGTGGAACCCATTTCTTGAGGACTATTCTGGCAGGAGATCTGGGCGAGGTTCGGTCCGTGTGAGGGTGAGAGTTGCAACGAATCTCTATCATGGATTGGTCAACTGGGTCCCTGAGCGATTACTAGAAGGAGTTCGAAAAGCTAACTAATCACTGCGTTGACTGGACGCAACATGCATTGGTGGGCACATACTTGGGAGGCTTGAAGTCGGAGATCGCCGACGAGATCAGAATGTTCCGGCCACAATCATTCGTGATGCTATCAGTTTGGCAAGGATGAAGAATGATCAAGTCCAACGTCATAATCTGGTTGGTAGGACGACACCACCTATTGGCGGAGGAGAAGGAGCGACTGGGACTAGGGGTGGAGCTTATGCGCTGAGAACTGCAGGCTCGGGCTTTCAGGGAGGTGGTAGACCACCACGCAGACCGCCAAGATGGAAGCGGTTGAGCTGGGAGGAGCAGCAACTGCGGAGGGCTCAAGGTCTATGCTCTAATTGCGATGAGTGATTCACCATCAGGCACAAGTATAGTAATGCTAAGGTGATGTGCTTGTTCGAGGAAGAGGACTACGAGGGTCAACCTTAGGGATAAGGTTGATTTCAAGGGGGGAGGATTGATGAGGGTATTTTTCGGTTAGGGTTTGGATTTTGGGCTTGGGTGTTTTTCTTTTGGGTTGTGGTTTTCCTTGTGCGTTGGGGGTTAGGGTAGCCGAGTAGGAGAGGGTATTCAGATAGTATTAGGTTTGGGTATTAGGCTTTAATAAGTAGGGATGGCAACAAAACTCGAACCCATGGGTACCCACCCAACCAACCTGGCGGGTAAAACCCGTGATGACGGGTTTTGGGCCGGGTTCGGGTTTAAACCCGCTACACTATTCATCGGGTCGGGTTTGGGTTTAGGTAAACCCGTCACATGGGTACCCGCTCACACACATATATTTACTTTCTCGGTATATTTAATATTCTAAAATAATATATCTTTCTTAAACAACTAATATTCTATATGTTTGTGGAGAAATGTATAATTTGCTCTTTCTAATTGTTTAGAATGAAGTTGATATTATGAAGTGGAGAGTGAAGAAACTTACTTGATGAGGAAGAAGCTTTCAATTAATCTTATTGTTTATATATGTTTATCTTTAATTTTGAATAATTTGTATTGATCATTTGCGCTTTGCTTGTATGCTCTAGATTGGTGTTTTTTGTATGTTTAATTTGTATGAGAAAATTGACGTCAAACTTTTATATTGAAAGAAACTTGTTATTGTAAATTTTTACCACAAAAACCCACGGGTACCCATGAACCCACGGATACCCAGTGGGTTGGGTTGGGTTTGAGTTTTTCAAACCCAACAGGGTTTTACCCCGGGTTTTTTTGGCGGATAAACCCATGGGTTTGGGTTTGACAAAACCCGACCCAACCCGACCCATTGCCATCCCTATTTATAAGCCTATAAATATGTAAAGTCGGCATTAGTTCTGTATCCAATTAATAAATCAAAGGTTTATAGACACCAACGTCTTTCTCTCGCTTGTAAGTTACAAGCAAACCCTTGAACTGTGGGTAACAGTTCATCACCTTACCAATAGTTATGTGGGAGTTTCTTTGAGGCAAAATACAACTGTATAGCCACAATATTCAGGTTTGTGACAAATATAACCACAACTATCGAAATTCACAAAATAGCCAAAAAATTGGAAGGTTGTGTGACAAATCTGGTCACTTCCGTCTGAAACTATAACGACGTGTATGACGGCGTTGAATTCACTGACGGAATGCTGAATCAAATCCAGATCACCTGCCACATAAAATAAAAAAATATGTAAAAAATAAAATTAAAGATAATTAAATTAAACTTTTTTTTTTTTTACTTTATCCCTCCCTCTCTCTCTCTCTCCTTTCACCTTCGCCAAGAACCGTCGTCCAATCCTCTCTCTCCCCTCATTCTCTCTTTTTTACCTTCTCCGTGTTCATCTCCACGCACTAAGCTAGCCGAAGGAACTATTGCCACCGCCGCACAAGCAATCGGAGGGTAGTAACAACAATCTAAAAAAATAATCACCACCAGCACTAGAGGGCTTCCTCTTAATCTTTCCCATATTCCCTTCATTTGTCGGTTAGGGTTTGGCAGCGGCAGCGGCGGTGCGGTTGAACAAAAACTCCAATGAATCGGTGATGTTAAAGAAGAATCACTGCCAGCGTCCTTTTCCAGCGGCCCCTTCTCCGCCGCTGCTTCTTCTTCCCTACCTCCGATGTATCATCGAACCCCCACTTTATTGAAATGGCAGTAGTCGTTTGAATGAGAAGGCGGTGGTTGTGGCATTGGCAACGACAAAAATCCCTCTTTGTCGCGACGAAAATTCCCCTGCTTCCCATTTAATATCCACCTGGGAATCGAGATCTGGGCTCGACGAGATATGATCTTCAGTCGACGTTGGAGTTGCGGATGAAGGCCCCGTTTGAGCTTCGTCGGCGGCGGTGGGGGAAGATTAAGAGACGCCGATGATTTAGCGGCGCCCGAAGAGCTTTCTGGAGCTGGGAGGAGAGGGGGACTTGGAAAGTTGTATTGGGACTGCAAGGAGAGGGCGACGGTGGATTCGGTTTGTCTGGCTGAGACGATTTGGCTGCTGGACGACGAGCCAATTTTGGGATTTTGGGTGCGATTAAAAAAAGGAAAAGAAAGATAAATTAAAGAATATATATTTTTAAAAGTAAATTATGACGTGACGTCTATGTGGCAAGTGAGGCTGAGTTTTTACTGAATGTGTGTTTTTATTTTTTTTCTTTTAATCCACATAAGTTAGTGGAGTCAGGAAAACACCAACTAAGCATCCACTGTCAGTCAAGTCATCCCGTTAACTGACAGATAGGGGTGGGCAACGGGACGGGACGGGATACCCGTCCCGTTTTAAACGGGTACTCAGTCCCATTTGGAGACCAAAGTCCATCCCATATCCCAAACCCATATGGGAAACGGGTACCCATTACCCGTACGGGACGGATAACGGGTACCCATACTACCCATAAATACCCAAAGTTTAAACCACTCAAATTTTAACAAAAGTTTAAACTTAACTTGTACTTGCTAAACAATCACAAGACACAAATCATGAACAATCACAACGCATAGAAATAAATCATTCTAAGCACCAAATTGTCAAATAAGAAGTTTCATTCAACACAAATCATGAACAATCACAACGATGTGCCTGCGAAAATTAGGGTCACCAAACTTCTCCATCCAGACAAAGTCATCATACATTGAGTGGTATACAGGGTAACCTGCATGCATTCAGCTATTGTCAGCACTCAGCAGGGTAGAAGGAAAAATGTAACTGATAATTTCAATGTTAAGGAATCATACACCGCTGAGGTTCCTTTAGCGATTCATGACTACTTTGAACTATGAAAATAATCTATGGTACTTCTTGGACAGGGATGAGTTTAGGTTGCATGTCACTGCAGAGTGCAGACTACAAGTATTATGTTCACATAGCGTTCTTTGTTTCTTTTCTAAGAAAAGTTTAATCTTTGTGGTGAAGTGGACATTCCCTTTCTATGGATTAGAGTTCGCAAATGGGTAAAACGGGTACCCACATTACCCAAACAGGTATTTGCGGGTAACCCGCGGGTACCCACATTACCCAAACGGGTATTTGCGGGTAACTCGCGGGTGCCCATATTAGGAATGTACAATCCCAAGTCCCATCCGTTTATAATATTACGGGTAATATGGGTACCCGTAACCCTTAAAAAAAGGGACGGGTACGAGTATACCCAAATACCCGTTTCCCGTTGCCCACCCCTACTGACAGAGTCAACAGAGTAGACGGAAATGGCTATTTCGTGTATTTCTATAGATGTAGCTATATTTGTCACAAACCTAATAGTTGTGACTATGAGTGTATTTTGCCTTTCTTTTACAATCCTTCTTATAATTTCCGAGATTTTTTTGAATGGACCGGATGTACCATGTCACAACGCTGATTTGGGGTGCCGACCAATTAGAAATTAGGAGAGGAGAGAGATTCTATAGCGAGAAAATAATTGAATAAATAATTTAAATTAAATACATTCCACATGTCCAAATCTTGTTGGTAGCGAGCACCAACAAAGCAAGATGAGGTGGAGCACCCGATGTGCTAACTTATTCCCCATAATCTTCAGCATGTGTTATTACGGAAAAAAATCCCAAAATAGACACGTTATTAAAAAATATTCCCAAAATACATACGTTATAAAAAAAATTCCCAATCTACACATGTTTGGACTTCACCGCGGCTGTCAACCGCAGTGAATAACATCACCGTGGCCGTCAAAAGCGATGAACGCTTCACCGTCACGATTGGAAACGGTGAATACTTACTCGCCATTCACCGTGGGTGTTCCACACGGTAATGGCCTAACCCAAATTAATAAGCTAACAGCGGTCGTAATAATCATCAACCTTTTCTGAACAACCAATTTAACTTGATGATGGCGGATGCAACTTAACTGGATTGTTAATTATATATATATGATGATGCTAGCAAGTAATTTTAGATAATTAGCCCCGATCAGCTCTGCATGCAATTTCTTTCTTCGCAATCCTCCGCCGTAAGCACCTTCATCAGTGGCAGTCGGCAGGAGGAGTTCGCTCTCCGATGCCCATCTCGGGTGAGCACCACCGCCACCAGCAGCAATTACAACACAACGACGACGAGAGGCAACGTGAGCTGTCCGGCCTCCTTCCGGTGGATCCACACGGTCAAGCCTTTCGCTTACAACACTACAGCTGGGCCTACAGCTGCCCCTTCGCCCTCAGCTGATGATTATTACGGCGGCTATTATTAGCTTATTAATTTGGGTTAGGCTATCACCGCGTGGAACATCCGCGGTGAATGGCGAACAATTATTCACCGCTTTCGATCGTGGGGTGAAGCGTTCATCGCTTTTGACGGCCGCGGTGATGTTATTCACTACGGTTGACAGCCACGGTGAAGCCCAAACATGTGTAGATTGGGAATTTTTTTTATAACGTATGTATTTTGGGAATATTTTTTAATAACGTGTGTATTTTGAAATTTTTTCCGTGTTATTACTAGCAAGGTGAGGTGACAATATCTAAACCATGAATTTATAATTCATTACTAGTCATGTGGTATTTGTAAAATCAAACAACTTATTTATTGTTCATGTGGTAATTTAGTGTTATTTCAATGGTAAATGATTAATGTTCGTTTGGATGGATCAATTAAAAAACAAGACAATTTGGTAAATTGTCTCATTTTACAAAACGAGTCAATTAGAATTGTCTGCCCCAACCCCAGACAATTGTAAATGCATCAGAACAAGTCAATTTGAAATTCACCAAGCAGAATTGTTTCATCTAAATTTTGTGCTGTCAAACAGATCAATTTGGCCAGATTGATTCAAAATGAGGCAATCTGTCCAAATTGATATGTTAGAATTCCTCATCCAAACGACCTCTTAGTATCTCGTTTGGTAGAACCATAAACATGTGGCATTTGGCATGTGGTAGTATTTGAAGGTAAAACGAGTTATATTTCAAAATAACACGAGGCATGAGTTATTTCAAATAACTCACTAACCAAATAACTCATTTTAGTAAAATGTTGCCAAACAAATTGTTTGTGTCCAAATAACACATTTTTCATCAAATCCAAAATGATCCCTAATTTGTCTTACTAGTGTGATTTAATTGTTCATTTTACAAAATATATGGTACCCTATTTGCCCAACAATGCCTTTTAAATCATCTCACTTGTGATTTAGTTTTTTTTCACAAATAAAATTTCAAAAATTATGCTTAGTATTTAGGGGTGTGCAATGGTCCAGTCCATAAAGAAGACTTTATATAAGGATCGAACCGAACCGAACCATTGCACACAAGTATCAATAAAGAAGACTTCATATTGCACCTGGGTAGAGGTTTCTTATTTATAAAAAGCATTTACTCATTTATCTCTTGTAAAACTTTTCGACAATTCTATGGTGTCGTGACGGCACCGGTGCCGTCACTTTGTTATGGTCGGTTAAACAAGACGGTTCGGTTCGTGATTAACAGAGTGTGGGGTTGGTGATTTAACTAAAAAATGAATTAAACATAAATATAAATTAACAAAAAGGCAAAGAAACAGGTAGCCTGAGTTCTGTTTCCTCTTTCACTTTCATTATTTTCTTGGTCTTTTCATTGTGAAGCCGAACTCCTCCGGCGAGTTGCACCACCAATCCATCACCATTATTGTTTTTGTCGTCGACCATCACCACTAAGATCTCGAACCCCTTGTCGTTCCAAGTCACCACCGTCATCAGTCCTACTATCGCCGCTAAGTCCTCTACAATTGACTGTGTCGCGGCAATCCGTCACCAACGTCGTCGTTGCTGTCGATCGACCATCCCCACCCAAAATCGCCAACATCATCGTCCCCGATGCGGCCGCCTGGTTATCCCCAGAATTGTATCTGCCCTGGCAATTCACCACCTGTTGCCGCGGTCGGCCATCACCACCCAGATTCCGAACCCTCGTCAATCGAAATCGCCATCGTCTTCTGTGGCGTCTATCAAGCTTGATTTTCTTTGAATAATAAAAATAACTATAATAAAAGATTTTAACAAATAACAGGTTGAACCAATTAAAATAGGTTCGACCGGTTTTGATTCAAGGATGGTTATTAATCAACGTTCCTCACTAAATACAATGTATCCAACGGCTGAAAAAGTGTCGGCTACCGTGCCGGTACCACAGAATCCGCCCAAAAACGTAATCTATGCGGTCTAATCTCTCAATGATTTACTTTTGAATCTTCCAAACAAGAGTTATAAAAAATCTTCCAAACAAGTTGCCGACGATGACGAAGACTAATTATTGTCCAATATCACTGCGCAACGAGTATGGCAGCATCACATCCACATGACTTTATCCTCTCCTTCCCCCCTCCATCCTCATCCAAAACCCTCCCAATATGGCTTCAACCCAGCAACACTCTGCATCCAATACCTACGACAGACTCGCCGAGCTCAAATCTTTCGACGAGACAAAAGCCGGAGTCAAAGGACTCGTCGACGCCGGAATCACCCACATCCCTCGAATCTTCCACACCCCGCCGCACATTCTCGACAACCGACCTCCAGCCGCCGGCGATCCCAACCTCTTCACTCTCCCGGTCATTGACCTGGCCGGCATCCATCATCACCACCACGATCCAGACAAGCGAAAGGAAGCGGTCGAGAGAATCAGGGAGGCATCGGGTAATTGGGGTTTTTTCCAGGTGCTGAATCATGGAATCCCTGCGAGCACCCTGGAGGAGATGAAATCAGGGGTTCGCAGGTTTTTCGAGCAGGATTTGTCGCGGAAGAAGGAATTCTTCTCCCGTGACTTTACTGGGAAGATGGCTTACAACAGCAACTTCGATCTCTACACTGGCCCTGCTACCAATTGGAGGGATACCATTTACTTCAGCATGGCCCCTGATCCTCTCCAGCCCCACCAATTGCCCGCCGCCTGCAGGTATTTTGACTAGATTCGAAGTTCATGATGGGTTCAATGCTTGAATTCTCATTATATGCCTTGAATCGTATTATCATCTACTATTGACGTACAACACTGGCGGATCCAGTGGGTGGCCACCCCGGACCCCGGCTCAGCCCTTCTCTGGATCCAGAGTTAGTATAGTCTTGAAAAATGATTCAAATTAACATATTCAAATCACTACTATAAATTTAGTCTAGAAATTTTAGCTCCAAAGATTATTCTTAAAAAAAAACAATGAAATCTTAAATTCTAAAAGTCTAAAACAAAAGACTATAAGAAATATGAGTTTTGTTCCCTGAAAATTTACTAAAGCAGCTAGTGGATATAGGTATAGATACACAATGCACGATTGATTTGTCTAGCGTCGACGTTGCTCGTATCACCAATTACTACGGGGAGAACCTTTTCAACAATGAAAAATATGAAAACTGATTTGTGCAACAAAACGAGCGATGAATTTCTCGCCGATTGCTCAAGTATTTTATTTAAAACAGTGTATATTATTGGTATGGATGTGGACTCTATTATTGCTGTATTCGCTATATTAAAATACCGTCGTGTACAATTTATATTGTAAAAAAAAAACTATAATGTTTTTTTTACGGTTCTAATTTTCTAATGAAATGCGGCCCAATGCTTTTCTGTGTTCTGGATCCACCACTGACGGACAGTCATGAGGTCTCGCTGTAATGTGTAACTCCTTTAAGTATAATCAAAGTGTATATCTGTCTCCTACCAACTACCAATGAACTAGCTAACACACATTGTGTTCGTAAATCATCTTATTGAATTCATGGTTTATCATTCAATCAATTTCCACTCTGTTTTTTGCAGAGACATTGTGACAGAGTATTCCAAACAAGTGCTGAAACTAGGAGACTTGTTGTTCGAATTGTTATCGGAAGCTCTAGGACTGCCTGCAGATCGATTAAAGAATCTGGAGTGTGGGAAAGGACTTCAGGTGGTGTGCCATTACTACCCGGCTTGTCCTCAGCCGGAGCTCACTCTGGGAGCGAGCAAGCACGCAGACAATGACTTCATTACGCTGCTTCTGCAAGACGATGTTGGAGGTCTCCAGGTTCTTCATCAGAATCACTGGGTCGACGTGATTCCCTTGCCGGGAGCGATAGTGGTGAACATCGGAGACATGCTTCAGGTTAATTTCTAGTCAAAAATTTTGTGACAAGTTTAGAAAATGTCTCTTTTTTATATTTTACCTAATCAGTTGTCTGAACGATTTCAGCTGATATCTAATGACAAGTTCATAAGCGTGGAGCACAGAGTGATACCGAATAAAAGAGGGCCTAGAATCTCCGTCGCGTGCTTCTTTAGCACTTTCCTTGCTCCGAACTCCACCAAGTACGGACCTATAAAGGAGTTGTTGTCGGAAGACGATCCGCCAAAGTACAGGGAAACCACTTTGCCAGAGTATGTTTCGCACTTTAATAGCAAGGGGCTTGATGGGACTTCCGCTCTTCTGCACTTCAAGCTCTGAAACCTGGACATCACCGAGTGTGAATGTAGGACCGTTTGGCCCGATGCCAAGAGAGAGGGGCAAAAATTAGTAGTCTGCAGATGGTAATTCTGGAATTAAAGTTAGTCATTTATGCAGTTGAGAGTCTGATAACAGTGAGTTTGATAGTCTATTTGGGAAGGACAAAATAGACATGAACTTATATTTCGATATATAATCTGTATTTATATATATATATATATATATATATATATATATATATATATTGATTTCTATCTCATAATTTATAACGCAAAATAACACTTGAAACTCAATCACAACTAAAGGTAAGGTAGCCTAACGGTAAAGCTGTCGCGACGGTGAATGCTTAAGAGTTGCAGATCCCAGGTTCGAATCCAAGCGAGGCTCGTTGGTGCTCTCGGAGGTACAATGCTGCTGGGGGCGAAGCCTCGTTGGCGTCGAATGTGATTGCAGGTGGCCTCAGATTTAGTAGGATCCGCTGTCACAAAGTGGCACGTGGGGCTAAGGTTCCTGAGCAATAAAAAAAAATTCAATCACAATCTCAATCCCATGAAATAATACACGTATTCGATAATATCAAATATCAATAAATTTAATACATTTTTTTAATAATACGCTATTCAGTAGTTCTCAAACGTAGAGGTGGCAAATTGATTGATCCATAGATTGGTGGATTGGATTGGCGGATCCATGGATCAAATGGATTGGTGGATTCATGGATTGAGTCAAGTGGATTGGTGGATTATCCAAGAATCCAAATGACATCCCCAACCAATGACCAATATGTAAAAATGAAAAGTTAAGGTACTAAAATGTCATAATGAAAAATTTTAGGTACCAAAACGTAATTTTCCAATGATATTTTTCGTATAAAAAATAAAATTTTGGGTACCAAAATGTAAAATATAAAAAGTATAAGTACCAAATCGTAATTTGTCATTTGGTTGGATTTGGATCAAGGTTGTCAACCCGCGGGTCGACCTGCGAGTTGACCCACTTTGACCCTGACCCGGTGAGAAAAACGGGTAGCACGCACCCGCCGGGTCGACCGCCACAAGGTACTGGGTTGGAGGTCAAATTGTGTCATTTTTTTCTTTGTTTGTGAAATGCGCCTATTTTCTGATTTTTCTTTTCGCCTAACTCAATCTTTGGAATCCTAAGTTGAACATTTAAATATTAGGGGTCGTTTGGAAGTTGTGATTGTTAGCATTGTATTTGTTAAATACATGCATTGTCCACAATACAACGTTTGGAAGTGTCAAGTTGCAAAACAATGCATGTATTGTTTTGTGTGGGTCCCACCAACAATCAACAAAAATGATGGATTGTACAATCTCAACTAAAAGTTGAGATTGTTGGTTTAATAATTGAGCACATTTACTTTTTCCAATTATGTCCATAGTTCTTTTTGTTTTATATTAAAAGTGGAGGACAAATATGACATTTCCTTATAAAGTAACTTTATAACAATCAATTCATAAATTATAATCTCAACAATCAAACAATGTAATTTCAAAATGCATCTATTGTATCAATGCATGCATTATATCATAGTGATTCATAACAATACAACGATTTAAGATACGCAACTTCCAAACGACCCCTTAATGTTATATAAGTGTGTGTGAATTTTCACTGAATCTAAGTACGGAATGTTATTTTGGTGTAATATTATATGTTATAATTCATATGTTAGATGAGATTTGATATAATTTATCAGGATAAGTACAATATAATGACGCTTTCCATATTTTCGGGCTGAACCGGGCTAAAACGGGTGACCCATTAACCCTTGACCCACTAGCTCAACCGGGTCCGGATCAACTCGCGGATTGACAACCTTGATTTGGATCAAATGAATTGGATTTAAATTGATTAGATTATATGAATATTTTTATTGGATTAGTGGATTGGATTGAGAATTTCCACCGCTATCAAACTTTATAGTTATACGTTATCATCCTATCTTGTCTCGGTCAAATGAGGTAGACCGTAGACGGCTATCGGTATAACCAAAGTGGACCGAACCTTCCCATATCGTAGCGCTGTCCTCGTGCCACGTCAGCCTTAGCTATGAAGTTTAAAAAAGGGCATTAATTGCTAAAATTAACTCACCGTCACCGATATCAGTTGACGTCATTACCTGCCGACAGGTGGACAGTTATCCGCCGGGAAAGAACGACCAACAATTCAACGCAGCAAAGCTTCCCACACTCCCCCGAACTGATGGCTGGATCTGGAATTGCCACTCTGTATCTCCTCACTTACAATTCAATCCAGGCCTTCGGATGGTAATTTTCCCGCCCTTTCCCCTAGACCCCCGAAGATTCATCAGTTATGTTCTCTTCTATCTGCGATTCTGTCACTTCCATCGATTCATCGGTTCTTCGTTTCCATTCACGGCAGGGCAATCGCACTCTTCAGAATCCTGAGCAACTTCAGCGCTACTGGTTCCGTCGCCGGAGCTTATGCCTCTGCCGGAGACCTTATCTGTCAGTGTTTTCCTTCGCCTAATGTTTTCTGCTTCCTTTTAGGGTTTCCATGCCTTTACTCTCTGTAAAACCTCCCTTTTGAAGGCTTATTGCAAAGCATTGCGTTCTTGGAAGTCGTCCACGGAGCATTAGGTGAGCCTTTTTTTTTTTTCAGCCCACGGCGCTTGTTCGTTCAATCTTAATTTTGGCCTGTTTTGGTGGAGAATGTATCATTAGAGTTTAAGAACCAGTGCTGCTATACCGACTGTGAGTTTATGTTTCCCAACAATTAGGTCTTGTCCCAAGTGGCGTTTTGTACCCGTTTATGCAATGGGGAGGCCGAACCCACTTCGTTCTGGCCATCGTCCGCAAGATCGTTGAGGTTTGCGTTTTGGTTTCTCATATCTAATTTGCTTCACACTGGGGGGGAATTTTGCACTTGTTAGTCGTATGAGATTACAATTCGATTTAGGACTGGAGAAATGGCTGCTTAATTTTGATTTGAATGGTGTTGCCATACTGGGTTGGATACGGGCACATTTGTGGGAGGTATGCTTCAAGTTTCCACTGAGTCAATTTTTTCAAACATTGTGCTCTGCCAGGTTCAGGAGTTGCCAGCAGTTTTCATAACCTTTACGGCTTGGAGCATAGCTGAGGTCAGTCTGTTCTCTGTTGAATGCAAGGGTTCCTAAGTTGTGAACTTCATTTGTGCACATCATGGTTCATGTGGACTGGTAATGCCAGATTCAATCATTATGCTAGTGGACCAGTTGCAGTAAGGGATTCTTGAATAATTGTGTCATATTGATAGACGGAAGACAATAGATCCCGGCAATGACCTTGTAGAACAACCATAACAACCACTCAGACTAAGCATGAAGTATCTTATCTTGGATTCTTGATGCTGATAGATTTAATATCTCACCAGAATTTTCTGTATGATCTTGGACTCAGTCTATTAGGTATTCACACTATGCTCTGAACTGCATAGGCAGCTGTCCATCATGGATTGTGTACCTTAGGTAAGGCATTCTCTTCTCATAATGGCTCTTCTCCTGCCAAAATCTTTCCTTTTTTTTCCCCCTCTTCTTTCCTTTCTCTTTGAAAAATGTTTCTGGAGTTTTTCTTGGATTTGCTTACTGACTTTTCGTCTTGAATAGGTATACTGCGTTCATTGTGCTGTATCCTATAGGCCTTTTCCCAGGCGAAAGTAAGTGATTGACTGTCCTATTTATGTTGTTGAATCGGCACTTATGAGATCCTCATTAGTTTCATCATGGTTATGTTTCTTTTCGCTCAATATCTCAGTTTGTTTTTCCACTTCTTTGCAGTCTGGCTCATGTACCAAGCGCTTCCATTTGTGAAGAAGAAGAACCTCTATGCGAACTTTTTCGCTCCTCTTCCATTCAATTACTATAACTTTCTCTGGGTAAGTTAAACTTCCGATGGTTCTTCTGATTTTGTGAGCATGGAAATTATCCAAATATGTGACTTTATTCTCAGGTTATACTGGTCTACTCGTCAATCGACAAGTATTAATCTACATATGCAAGTGATAACTTGTGATTATCATTTTGGGTTCTGGAGAGTCAAAACATTAAAGAATTGATATACAACATAAACCAATTTTTGGTCTTAACTAAAGCTGATTTCATCACAGCAAGATGAATTACGTTGCCTTCTATTTGTTCTTCATCTCATGACAGTGTAGTGGCGTGGAGCCGTGGACATGGGTTAGATTTGGATTCACAAAACAGATTATCCTTATCTTCATCTCACCAGCTACATTATTTTCTTATATAAACAATGCACGTGGAGATGAACTTGGCATCTAAATCGTCCTAACCTTTAGTTCCACTGGCAGATTAGGTTGGAGCATGTTGTGCATAAAGATGTTCATTATTTAATTCGATTCATAATTGAATGTTCATGTCATGTTCCTCTTGTTTTCATTTTCTTCAGGCTGTACTCCTGAGCTATCCCTTCCTCTGGTTCAATCTCTACCTCCATATGCTGAAACAACGCAGGTCAAAGCTCGGGAAGCAGAACATCAAGAAGAAGAGGAACTAGTCGAGCTCGAAAAGCCAATACACATTCAAACTCCGCCACATCTGTGTATGAACTTGTCACTCAAAGAGAATATTGGTTTAGTTGACTCTTGATTGAATGATGTAACAGCGATAATTACCCTTCACCTAGACCCCATTTTTAATACAGAAAAGCAAGGCTTCTGGGGCTGATGATTCGATTAAACTTGAAAGCGAATGATTGAAGGAAAGGAACCAACAACTCTTACAGATTATTATATTCAACACTTGGAACAAAAGGCAGCAGCAGATAATAATAACACAACTCAACCAACAACAATCACTTGAAACCAAACCAAACCCTCAAACCGGAACCCGAACCCGATACAATTAATCAGTAATCCTGAACGGGGAGCTGTTCATGGGTGGATGGAGCCATGAAGAAAATCTCGTAGACGAGAGCTGCAATCCCAGCGCCGACGAACGGGCCGAGCCAGTACACCCAGTGGCTGCTCCAGGTCCAGCTCACGACGGCGGGCCCAAATGACACTGCTGGGTTCATCGACGCACCGTCGAATGCTCCTCCGGCCAGGATGTTAGCACCCACGATGAAGCCGATGGCGATGGGGGCGATCGTTCCCAGGTCTCCTTTCTTGGGGTCCACGGCAGTGGCGTACACGGTGTACACCAGCCCGAATGTCATCACGATCTCGAAAACTACGGCGTTCCACTCGCCCACTCCCGCTGACAGAGCAAAAGCAGAGGTTTCCTGCCACCATATACAGAGTAAGAGTAGGTTCCAGAAGATTCATTTATGGAAAATTAAACAAAAAAAAAATTTTGAATAACTCGAATTGTCGTATATTCAAATCCGCCCGTACCAGCCCGCCGGTGGAGAACTTGAGAAGCAAGCAAGCGGCGACGGAGCCGAGCAACTGGGCGATCCAGTACACGATGCTGCGGACGAATGTGATGTGCCCGCCGACGAATGCGCCGAAGGTAACGGCGGGGTTGACGTGTCCGCCGGAAATGTTGGCGCCGACGGAAACCGCGACGAAAAGTGCGAAGGCGTGTGCGATGGCCGCGGCAATCAGGCCGGCCGGCGAGGCAGGGCCGCCGCCGGTGAGCTTGCCTGGTAAATCACGAACGTAAGTTAGTAAGAAATTGTCATGAATTCAACTGAGACGTTGAAAGGAGTGATAATAGTAGTAAGAAAAATTACCAAAAGCCATGCCGGAGCCTTCTCCGGCGAACACGAAAATGAGCATGGAGATGAACTCGGCCAGACCGGCCTTGAGTGCATCGGGCTGACCGGCTTCGGCCAGAGATCCAAATGCGATTCTAGAGATCGGCATTCTTGTTTCTTTTTTTGGTGGGTTGACTTTGGAGTTCACTCTCAAAGCTCAAAAATTGCTCTTAAGATTGCTTTCTAGCTTCCTGAGTATGGAGCTTGGTTCAGCGGGCTGTTTATATATGCGTGGGAAGCGGGACGAACCGGTTCAATTCTCCCGGGTTTTCTTTGTTCTTTCAATTTCCCGGTTCGCGTTCGAGTTTGAATTATTACGGACGGGTTGTCTTTACCGGCAAAATGACCTGTCGCTGTCTAATAGGCGGGCCTCCAAATGATTCCTGGGGCGCCACGTGTCCGGTTGATGTGACAAAACCGGCCAATCCAAGAGCGGAGAAATTTCGAAATGATTAGTTTAAACCTTCTGCTTAACCGACCAAATGAGTTGTTTAATGTTTGGGCTATTTGTGGATTAGTTGTGGAGGTCTCATTTTCAGCCCACTAATTCAACGCTAACAACTCAATTATATATATTATTAAGATTAGAAAAAGGCTCAATGATTTGGATCCGTTAAATGATAAATGATTCCCATCGTATTTGTTAATTTATCTTGCGTTTGGGCTTCGGTTAATGAATAGTGAGAGGAATAAAGCCTAGTTTATTTTTAATAGACAACATATTAGTTTAAAATTATCTAATTCCTTTCCGTTACTACTTCCGTATATATTGGAAAATGGTTATAGGTATAATATGCCCATCTACTATGAAGTTTTATCAAACATGTTCCTCTACTATTTTTTACATCAAACATGCCCTTGTACTATGAAAAAATTATCAAACATGCCCTTATGTTAAAATTTTGGGTAAATACAATTTAATATACAAACCTTTCATTTTAAACAATATAATAGCCAAATCTTTTCGAAAACAATCTAATATCCAAATCGTCAACTTTCCGTTCGTTTGACCGTTAGTTGACACTTCAAAAAAGTTCGAAGTACGATGCTTCATCAATATCCATCGATATCTTCTCTGAAAAACCACCAATATATCGTGGTTCCAAACCCGAGAAGTCCATGACTCTACCATGATGGTATAGAATATCTAAATATTCAGTCATCTGCAATGCCAAAACAAGAAAACAAAGTTGTATTGTGACAATTTCCCCCAAACAAAGCTTTTTTGAAGTGTCAACCAACGGTCAAACGGACGGAAAGTTGACGATTTGGATATTATATTGTTTTCGAAAAGGTTTGGCTATTATATTGTTTAAAATAAAAGGTTTGGATATTAAATTGTATTTACCATAAAATTTTCATTGAAAAAATCGTCAATCATGGTTGAACTGAGATTTAGACGACCCGACATCGGCAAATGGGAGAGAAAATGTCAGTTTTATCTCCCGTTGTATTTCTCTGGGTGTCTTCAAAGTGAAATTATTTGAATTATTTGGCTATACAAAAGACAAAAAAAAGTGAAATTATTAGGGATATTTTAGACATTTGTGCCGCCCAAACCAAAGTTCGACCTTGTTAACGGTTTTTGGATGAAAATTTAAACAAAACGGCATGTTTGATCATTTTTACAAAGTACAGGTGTATGTTTGATGTAAAAGATAGTAAAATGGCATATTTTATAAAGCGTCATAGTAGAGGGCCATATTATACTTATAACCCATAGTGAAATAGTATGATTTTTGTCATTGCTAGTAAGGGCATTATTAGTTTAATGCCACAGCCTCAATGGGGACATAATCAAAATGTCGTTGCTTTTATGCAAAAAGTCCAACCTTTCATTACCTTAAAGTACAAATCAAAATAAATAAATAAATATATATATATATAGTGGCGTATTCGGTGCACTCAATTTTTTGGGTGCATTCAGTGCACTCACTTCATAAATGTCATTTTAAACATGTGATTTATGTCAAAATGATGTCACTCATCACTTATGATGTGATGAACAATAACGCACATGAATTTGCCCAAAAACCATTGAAGATTTACTTTAATTTGACGGATTTAGAGTTTAGAGATTTAGGGTTAGGGTTAGGGTTTACAATTTGGGGTTTACGGATAGAACTCAAAATTGGAGGTCTAGGGCTTAGGGTAATCCGCTAATTAGTTGTTATCATATGTTATATCCTCATATTACACTTATTCTACAAATTAAAATTCAAAATCAGACACCTTAAGCGTAGTTTTTTAGTTGGGTGCATTGAACGCACTCATTTTTGTGAGTGCACCGAAGTAGTCACCATATATATATATATATATATATATATATATATATATATATATAAAATAAATAAATAAATATATATATAATAAAGATGTTTTTTATGGGTCTTTTCTAGCGAATTAAACTTTTTTCCGATTAATGCATATTTATGTTGATTAATTACTCCATTTATGTGTCACAAGATGAATAACTGATGTCATTATTACTTTATTAGGATTTCGAACTGAGCCCCATGACATATCTAAGCCAATTTTAATGAGGCTCTAGAGTTCCATATTGGGGTTGTTTATTTTGTAGGTGGGTTTATTTCACTAATTTCTAGTTAGAATGCTTGTTATGATTATCAAGCAATCTTAGAGGCACTAATAAGAGTTGCCTATTTTGTGACAACACCATACTTTCTTATCAATAACTCGACTTGGTATGTACTAGTATTACTATGTGAGTTATATTTTTTTTTTGATCATATAATTATCTCTTATTGATAGTAAAAAATTATAACCTAATATTACCTTTTTTCCTAAAATAATCCCTACCCAAGGTTGATTTCAGGTTAGCGTATTATAATATTGATGGAAGGTGGAAATATTATTATACCACCGCCCGAGCTCTTGTAAAATCCTAGCCATTTAAATGTGAGGAAGTGGGCCATCATATAACTATTGTGAAAATTAAATCGCTAGCTAGTTAGGAGAAGAGCGACAAAGAAAGCTGTATTGGGTGTAGTGGGCAGGCATTATAGGGTATAGGCTGAGTAAGCAACCTAATTTGGTGTTATTCCTCCCACTCTAAACTTGATTATCCTCCTAAACTAAGAACATCATCATCTTCATTATTTAAATGATCTTCTCGATATTTTCTTCTTTCTTTCGTGCTGGTTGTTGATCCAAGAGTGACAATCAGAATGTGATAAATATTCTCATTCCTACGTTACCACTAAATCAATTCCTTCAGTTTACTAATTTCTTTTGTTAAAGAAAGAAAAAAGATTTGTACATCCTCGCCCCCCAATCACTGTGATAAGTTCCAAGGCCATAGTCAGGGGCAAAGTCAGGATTTCGAGACCGAAAATAGATAAATGTAAATAAAAATAAAATAATTAGTTTTAAAGTCTACAACGTTTTTTGAAATCATTGAAATTTTTCAAAATAACATATAAAAATAAAATAATTAGTTTTAAAGTCTACAACATTCTTTGAGATAATTTAAACCTCTCAAAATAGCATCTGAACTAAAAAATTTAGCTATCTTTCTTTCAATATAAATAACTAAATCATTAACAAGGAAATCATCATTTATTTTGTTTTGCAATCTATTCTTCACTATCTTTATACCTGAAAACATGCACGATCACATGTAGCTTTAGAAATTTGGAAGAGTTAGAAGAAGACAAATCAACCTATCAACAAAATAAAATTCCTTTGACACTAATCTTTCTGTTCATCCCGACATAGATAAAAAAAATAGATCATATAGTTTGTATAAAGAGCTAAAATTCTCAAGTGAACTAAATAGAAGTTGATTTTTTCATTTGTAGCTGGATTAAAGTAACAAAAAGAATGAAAAGGAGTGAGTATCCGTTTGCTTTGGTCCAGGACCTTGTAGAGGAGAATTAAGATAATAAAGTCCAAAAAGAAGTTAAAGCAAAAAACCTTGTAGAGGATAATTAAGATAATAAAGTCCAAAAAGAAGTTAAACCAAAAATGAGGTTGTTGTGGATCGAACCTATTTGCTTTAGACTAAAAGTTTAGTTTAGCTACCAGAAAACTACAAGATTGTTATATGACAAAACATATAGGTTGAACACTACTTATCCAAATTTTATTTAAATATTCTTACATTCCTAACAATCCTAGAGGTCGAGACTATTCCCGGGTGGGCCGGGGCCACCCTACTCTCTGACTAACTCCGCCCCTGGCCATAATCCTTGTGGAATTGTGGGGAAAAAAGAAAAGGCCAAATAAAAAAGAAAAAAAAAGGCAACTCAAGTTGAGTAATTTTTCATAATTCGCAAGATTATTCTGTGTTGAATCAGCTACAAAATTACAACTAATCTATGAGCACTTCTACTATGCTATATATCATCGGTAATTTAATGTACAACTTAAAGTTGTACCATAACATTAAATTTATAAGTTTAGATTGTACCATGAAGGAATTTGTATCATTATGTTATGGTACAACTTTACAACTTGAAGTTGTACCATCAAATAAAAGTACAAGTTCAAGTTGTACCATAAAAGAATTTGTACAAAATGTATAGGTACAATCTGAAGTTGTACCATAACGTTAAAGGTACAATTTCATATTGTACCATAAAGGGGAAAAAACTATAGCACCAATACTATATAGCATTGTAAAATTCCTCCTAATCTATATAAATTAAAGTCATAATTAACTAATGAGTAGACTTGTAGTCTAACGATATATTGACAATAAAGCAAGGTTGTCAAACCTGTTTATGGCAGTGTGCCGGTTTAGCAAGTGGAATGGTTCGACCGGTGGCACATACCGGTTTGTGCCGGTTCATTCCGTTCAATATTACAAATAAAATTATAAATACTCATTTTAAACATGACATTTAACGTCAATACCTAAACATTTATATTTGAATCCAACAAATAACATAAATATTTAACATTTATACTCATAAAATAAATAATAAACTAATTTTTAACAATTAAAGTCACTAAAATAAGGTTATTTTACTTAGAGATTCGTATATCGATCATGCCGGTCATACCGGTGGTGTCACGCCGGTTTTATGACCGGTAAAGGTTGAACCAGGTACAACCTGTGGCACGCCGGCCGACGTGACAACCAGTGGCGGATCCAGGGGGTGGCCACCCCGGGCCTCGGCCCAGCCCTCCTCTGGATCCATAGTTAGTATAGGCCTTATAAATTTTTTGATTTTAGA